CGACAGGACACGCCCATCCTGTGGCATTCCCGTGCAGACAGGCAGACAGGCGGACGAGGTCTGGGGTCTGTGGCAAGGAAAAAGGATCTCGCACCCTTTGCTGCGCTTCCGTTAATCGACTGCACTTTTGCATCCTGATGACTGCACACGGCAGGAGAATGCCAACAGAGAGTCCTGCCCGGCATATGCTGCTGCCGCCATCCCTTTGTGGGCAGTCCTCCCCCAATCGTTCGTTTTTATTTCTCCCCTTTGTATCCCATTTAATTTGGCGTTTTCTTCTGGCCCTTGTCCGGATTCTTTTTTTGCATAATTTTAATAAAGTTCGCTGGGATTTTTGCTCGACTCCAGCAGCAGCAGTCAATTGTTATCTCCCGGCGATAAGTAAATATGCAATTGGCGGGGCACAAGCACAGGCACTGCCACACGGCCACACGGCCACTGACCAGGCGGAGCGGTGGCACGCTCCTGCTCCTGAATTGCAACTGCCATTGGAATGCCGAGAACTCGTTCTCAGTGGAGTTTTTGTTCGCGGTATTTAAAGCTGCACAATTACATATTTTATTATGTATGTTCGTACATTTATGTATGTAATACATACTATGTACATGTATTATACATAACCGATGTCTTTTAGTCTTCTAGTGGGTATCTTTTAGTCGCAATACACAAAAATGCTTGCCCTTACTCCTGCATTTCGTTGTTTGCTTTTGACATTTTTTCATTTCATGAATATGACTGGATGATAAGACCAAACGAGGAGTATACATACATTCGTACATATATTTATGTACATATGTAAATTGTATGTAAACTTACATATGTAAGTGTAAACGCGATACGGGCAAGGGTAAACCGGTGTAAAATAATTGCGTGGGTGAGGGCTTAATTCAATCTGTGTTGTTTAAGCATTTTGTTAAGTTTTATTTAATTGCGGAATACGGAATGCAGACATGTAGACAGTCCATTGCCACTGAGTGGAGATTGGATTACGCAGAGGAAGGAAAACAAAGCGGAAGCCTAAAGGCTTCCTCTTTCTTTGGCTCTAAAAGTAAGTTGTACTTAAGGACTAAGAACTAAGGATCTAAGGAACTCTGAAGCACCGGTTAAAGTAAAATTGTAGCTTAAAAAAAGGTTGTGTACATAACTGCATTTAAATGAAAATTCGATGAACCGATTTCGAATCTCGTGTTGGTCAGTGTGCCGGCCATTCAAGTGGAAAGATGATCGAGAAGCACGCAATTAGTGCCAGCAGCTACGCAGGTCAAACTCTCGCATAAAGTCAGTTGACAGCAACCAAATGACGGAGTTGGGTTGGATCATCGTTGCCCTCGTGCCGTTCATCAGCTGTGCCGCCGGGCAAACGGAAGCGCATTACGAGTGGACAACGGTAAGTACCAGGAAGACATTTCTCAGCGACACTCTCTGCTCTCCGCTGCTCTTGTGCTCCCTCTGCAGCTGGACTGGCTGAAGGCGCACAATGCCAGCCATGAGCTGCACAATGTGACCACCGCGGATGGCTATCAGCTGCAGCTGCAGCGACTCCCACGACCCGGGGCACGCGCTGTGCTGTTGGTCCATGGACTGCTGGGATCATCGCTCGGCTGGGTCTGCCTGGGGCCAGCCAAGAGTTTGGGTAAGAGGAGATGGCCTCTAGTATCTCTTGTTTCTAACATAACTTAGTGTTTGGGTTGCAGCTTTTCAGCTGCACCAACTGCAGTACGACGTGTGGCTGGCGAATCTGCGCGGTGCGTACCCGCACGGGCGCCAGCACATCGAGCTGACCGATGTCATGGATGAATTTTGGAGCTTCAGCTTCCACGAGCATGGCGCCTACGACCTGCCCGCCATAATTGACCACATGGCGGAGGTCACAGGCAGCGAGCAGCAGTCCGGGGAAGCGGATAGAGAGGCGCCCACGCGACAAGTGCTGCTAATTGGACACTCGCAGGTGAGCGAAGCTCTATTCGCGGTTGCCCCTAAGCCTTACCCCTGTTTGGTGTTCCCAGGCCTTCAATGCTTTTCTGGTGCTCTGCTCGCTGCACCCGCGATTCAATCAACGCATTCAGCTGATGCAGGCCCTGGCTCCGCTCTCCCGACTGCATCGACAGGTGCGCTTCGACGCGGCACAGGTGCGCAGCCTCATGAAGTTTGTCAAGGTAATTAGTGGAACGTTCTTTTATATCTTTGGTTTATTGTAGTAATTAGCTTTGACAAATGGAGTTTTTGTGATCTCTGCCTCGTATAACTTGTCGCGCACTTTGAGCTCCACTTTGGTGCCAGGCGCCTTCAGGGCATCCTGCACATAGCCCATGGCTATGTTGCGACCAGTGCTGGGACTTGGGCAGCCACTGGTCACCTGGCCCACCTGCTGACCCTCACTGAAGATGGGCACTCCGGCGCGTGCGGGTGGAGGTTTTGCTCCCAACATTTGCAGACCCACTCGGCGTCTCTGCACGCCTCCTTTGAGCTGGCTGAGCACCACCTCAGCTCCGGGGAAGTCGCGTGTCGTGCGCCGTCTTTTGGCCACCAGCCAGGCCAGAGCTGCCTCCACGGGTGTGGTCTGGGCATCGATGTCGCTGCCGTAGAGACAAAGTCCCGCCTCCAGCCTTAACGAGTCTCTGGCTCCCAGGCCAGCCAGCTTTAGGGTTCCATTGGCCAAGAGAGCTTCGGTGAGGGTCCGCACGTGGGAAGAGTCCACCGATATTTCCACGCCATCCTCCCCCGTGTAGCCGCATCTCGTAATTCTCACACTGCGTATACCTGCCAAAGTGCCGACCATGGAACCCATAAAGTAGAGTTGGTCCAGGGCTGTGGCTGGAGCCAGCAGCTTGGCCAGTTCCGCCGCCACTCGGGGGCCTTGCACGGCAATCAGAGACTGATCGGAGGGTGCAAGGAACTCCACGGCAACATCTTTGCCCTGCGACTTGAAGGAAGACTGAAAGTAAATGGAAGTTGTAGTTTGAGCACTTCCTGTATACCTCTATAAGTACGACATACCACAGCTGCACTGATTATTTCCTGATCCTGCTGCTTCATGGCCGCATTGGACACAACATACAGCTCCTTCTCGCTGACTTTGTTCACAATGAGATCGTCCAGTATGCCGCCTTGGTCATTGGTGAATACCGTGAGGGTTCCCGCACCCGCGGGAGTACCTGTGATGTCCGCCGTGCAAACAGACTCCAGACAGGCAGCCGCATCTTTGCCCCTCACGTAGGTCTGCAGCATGTGCGAGACATCGAAAATGGAGCCCACACTCCGCGTGTGCAGATGCGAGGCGATGATGCTCTGATCGGAGTACTGCACGGGCAGTGCATAGCCACCGAAGTTGACGATTTTTCCGCCATTCTGCACATGAAAATCGTACAAGGCCGTGCGCTCGCCCTCGCTGCTGTGCGCTGAGGAGGCGTGGCGTGGTGCGCCGGGCAGAGCCCGAACCCTGGTCAGTTTCAGTCGATTGCTTAGCTTCAACATCACTCGAAGACTGCCACAGAATTAGACAAAATCAGAGCATAGAGCTGCCGATAAGGCATTGACTTTGCCTGACCCAAGACACAGACTCAGGCAGATAGCGAGAGAGAGCGAGAGAGAGATGTTTGCTTGGTGATAACCCCCTGGGTTGATTCGTAAAATATTGCGGTGCATCGTACGAATGGGGGAAGAGCAAAGCAGAACAGCTGCGCTGAGCTTTTGTGGGATCGCAGCGAAAAGCTTTCTTGCTCTCTGACTAACTGTGAAAGCTCCAACTGAGAGGTTTAAATGGGAATGGGCACGCTTTGTTCTTTTTCTTACAGAAACGGCAAAAGTCAAGCAAGTTTGAGCTTTTTCCACCGGGATATTTGCGTAAATTATGCCAGAGAAAACATGAACAGTGCGAATATTATACCAAACAGTATGCAGGCAGCGCAAAAAGCAACAAAAAGGTAACTAAATGAGTAACGAACTAATTCTAAATACACACTAAATACGTTCTTGTTTTCAAGCTACTCGAAGCCTTTAACTATGAGCACCTGCTGCAGGGAGGCTCCGCGCGGGAGATCAAACATTTGCAGCAAATCTGGAAATCGGGCGACTTCATTGCCTACGATTATGGACCCATGCAGAACATGAAGATCTACAACGGAGTGGAGGCACTGCGTTACAATCTCAGCCGGATCAGTGTGCCGACAATACTGTACTTTGGCGAAACAGATGCAATTGCCACGCCGGAGGGAGTGCACGCTATTTACGCACAAATGATGAACTCTGTGAGAAGCGTCAAAAGAATCGAGTCACCGAAATTCAATCACTTTGACTTCCTTGTCGCGGGCGAGGTCAAGACTCTGGTCAACGACAAGTTAATCGAGCTAATGGAAAAGTTTCTCGAGGGTAAATTATCATACATAATTGAATAACGGCACCGAACGAACGCCTTTGATGGCAGCAAAATAATTGTTCAGCGCAAATGATTTATTTGTCTTGGCAACCAGCCCAAATGGCAATTATGTAATGACATAAAAAAGCGAAATAAAAGCCAAAAAACCAAGAGCGACGCCACTCTTACTTTCTTTTGATCGCAAACAAAAACTGTTTCTGTTTCCATTTGCCTTTTGTGCTGCTAAATTTGACCCACAACGAAGCCGACGGCTGCCAGCGTTTGGCCAAACGATGTTTTGGGCTGTGCATAAATTGAGTTTAAATTTTTAATGTTTTTTGTTTTCTCGACGCCTCACTGTGCCGCTGCACTTGATCAGTTGTTCAATTTCTGATTGCGACGCCTCACGCACTTAATTAACTAACCAAAAACCGAAAAAAAAACGCAATCGAAAGGTAAACACGACCTGGTAACACGTCACAGTACACAGTAATGTTGTTGCTGTTGTTGTTGTTGGTTGCTGTCTGAACGAAAGTTTTGTCATTGGTTATTGCGTATATTTCGGCATTCTTTTTTGTTGAGGTTTTTGGTGTGCTGGTCGGGCCATTGACAGTTTTCGGCTCGGGGTTCGGCGTTCGGCGTTCGGCGTTCAGTTGGGCCCGCATCGCCCAGCGTTCAGGTTGAGACCCAACCCCAAATCAGATTTCACTTTCTTCTTCAGCAGCAGATTTCGTAAGCCAAAGGAAAGATGCGCCAAAAACTAAAGTTGCACTTGATATTGCTGCTCGGCCTGTGCGTCTTCATCAATCGCACCCAAGCGCAGTTGATAGGCGGAGAGGAAGACGAAGAGGAGGAGGAGGAGGAAGAGGAGGAGGAGGAGGAGGAGAGCGTGGAGGATGAAACCTTCGAGGAGAAGCTGCAGCGTAAGAACATCAAGCAGGACTCGAGTCTCAGTGTGGTAGGAAGATTAACGACCGTCATCGTCATCGTTTTGCCAGCCTCTCACACACATTTCATCAACAGGACAAATTAATTGCCAAGTACGGCTATGAGGCGGAAGTGCATCATGTGACCACCGAGGACGGATATATCCTGACAATGCATCGCGTTCGAAGTCAGGGCTCCCAGCCCTTTCTGCTGCAGCACGGACTTGTGGACAGCTCGGCGGGTTTCGTGGTAATGGGCCCCAACGTCAGCCTGGGTGAGTGCATCGCGTGGGATTTCTGATTAATGGACCAGTGATTACCTCCCCCTCCATGCGCATTCGCAGCCTATTTGCTGGCCGACCACAACTACGACGTCTGGCTGGGCAATGCACGCGGTAATCGCTACTCGAGGAATCACACCAGCCTCGACCCGGACGAGTCCAAGTTCTGGGACTTCAGCTGGCACGAGATAGGCATGTACGACCTGCCCGCAATGATCGATTATGTGCTAAAGGTCACCGGCTTCAAGCGGCTGCACTACGCCGGACACTCCCAGGGCTGCACATCCTTCTTCGTGATGTGCTCCATGCGGCCCACATACAACGAGAAAGTCATCTCCATGCAGGCTCTGGCCCCAGCTGTCTATGCCAAGGAGACCGAAAACCATCCCTACATACGAGCCATGAGCTTGTACTTCAACGTGAGTGGCACACAGCAGATTTCAGCGAAGTTTCTTCTTAAATATAAACAATACTTAGAGCCTGGTGGGCAGCTCCATTAGAGAAATGTTCAACGGCGAGTTCCGCTTTCTATGCCGCATGACCGAGGAGACGGAGCGACTGTGCATCGAGGCTGTCTTTGGCATCGTGGGACGCAACTGGAATGAGTTCAACAGGGTAAAATGAGCCGAAGAATACCTCCTGCATTATGGTCCTAACTCCCCTGATCTTTGTCTCAGAAAATGTTCCCCGTTATCCTCGGGCACTATCCGGCCGGAGTGGCCGCCAAGCAGGTGAAGCACTTCATACAGATCATCAAGAGCGGCAGGTTTGCCCCGTACAGCTACAGCTCCAACAAGAACATGGCTCTGTACAGGGACCACCAGCCGCCACGTTACAATCTCAGCCTGGTGACGGTGCCCACCTTTGTGTATTACTCCACGAATGACTTGCTCTGCCATCCCCGCGATGTGGAGGCCATGTGCGACGATCTGGGCAATGTGACGGGCAAGTATCTGGTGCCACTGAAAGAGTTCAACCACATGGACTTCCTGTGGGCCATTGATGTGCGAAAGATGCTCTATCAGCGCATGCTGCAAGTGCTCGGCAAACTGCCGGCAGAACCCGAAGAGGAACCCCAGAAGGCTGCCCGAGCGGGTCGTGGAGCGTGGCCTAGATGGAGGTAGTTGAACCTTTAGATTTAGTATTTATTAAATAAATTGTATTTATTCGTTTGCCTTTCCCTTCGACGTGGCTCTAAATATTTAAGAGAATTTCCAAATATGCAACTGGCTGGCTCTGGGCCTGGGGTTGAGGGAGCAAAAGTCTTGCCTTCGACCGGAAACGGAAGTCAAGTGTTTCTTTTGGCCCACAAAAGCTGTAACAGCAGCACTATACATGCATTTGTAAGCAGATTTCCTGCGAGTACAGTTTTCCATTTTCCCCAGCACAACAGCTGCCACTGAGGCCAGGACTTACGCTCACACCAATGTCGATGGCTCTACTACGTTTGCCCCCTTGCAGCTGCTTTCATGCCACATTGTCTTGGCATTTGCATTTCGCTTCAGCGCAACTCTGGTCTGGGCTGTGCGGAGTTAAGTAAAAATCTGTGTTTAAAATCAAACCTAAAGCTAGAACCTTCAATAGCCAGTTCTTGCAGTTGTCGATGGACTTGAGTGTTGAGTTATTAATAGAAAATACTTTGTGCAAATGCAACAAGCGTGCTCCGGACAAGAGATCCCTTGAGTTCATTAAATTCCTGATTTGGCTTGCTTCACTTAAGTCTAAAAATATCTGAACAGAAGGAAGACTACAGCAGCGAGACTTCAATGCTCTTTCCTGTCACTTACTCATACTCAATTTGGCAGCATAAATGCATTTATTTTACCTCAGTTTGTGTCTTGAATGGCTTTTTGGGGCCTACTCTGCCTGAAGCTAGAGTAGTTAGAAGAGGATGATCAGTTCTTGATCAACGACTCAGCCTCATGCCCAGGAGCCACTGTCAGCCATTCCCATAGGATATTTATGTACACGCAAACATAGAGCCAAACCAGTTCCCAGTGTGTCTAATATTTTGAAGCACTTTGGTTCATACTCTCTGTTTGCAGGCATATTCGATGAATTTTGAATAGTATTTTATGTAATAAGTAATGCAGAAAAGACTCAATTATTTCTCCAGTATTTGTATACGTTTCAAACACTTTTTTTACACACAAAAATCATTGCAAGCGTATCCAGAAACTCGTTTTTCCTTCACTTTTTTCATTAGTTATTTAAAGACGTCACTGGGATCGTGGCTTCGAGCCTAGGCCTTTTCGTTGATATAAAAGCTGGAAGTTAGCTTGGGACCTAGACAGTGACTTAGTGGCAATGGCTCCCGAGGGATTACTTGCAGTTCTGAGTGTTTGTTGTGTAGCTTTGGCCTCGGCCGGATTTGGCCTTGGCGGTGCCAGTCTCAGCCTTGGTGGATCCTCTTTTGGCCTGGGATTGACAATGGGAAGTGGTTCTGCGAATGGCGGTCTCTTCGGGCATGGCGTCTCAACGCACGGATTGGGAATGACCGCTGGTCATGGAATGTTGGAATCTGCTGCAGCTGGAGCTCTACATTCGGCGGGTTCCTCTGCTCTATCTCTAGAAGCACACGCAGCATCGGAAGTTGGGACATCGAGTTCTTACAGTGGTTCCAGTTCCTCAACACATAATTCTGCATCTCAAAGCACAATGCCTAATCATCTGAGTCTCGGACTTGCTGCAGCTCATGGGGATCTCTTATCTCTTATGTCTGGATCTGCTGGAGTCGTTCATGGATCATCAGTAGGCTCCGTTGTAGGCAGTGGATCACACCTGGTCGCAAACAAAATTGTAAATGCGGCTGAAGCCGGAGCTTCTGCTCTTCATTCTGCGGGTACTTCTGCTTCAACTTTTGGTGCTCAAAACTCTGGAAATATTGCCAGCGGTTTAGCTGGCATCGGAGCATCCAGTTCATACTCTTCTGCAATGAAATCCGGATCTCATGGCATGAGTTCGAGCATCGAATCTTCAGGATCCGTTTTAGGGAGTGGATCTCTCCTGGGCGCCAACAAAGTTGTGAATGCTGCTGAAGCCGAAGCTTCTGCTCTTCATTCTGCGGGTATTTCTGCTTCCTCTCTGGCTGCTCAAAATACTGGACACGTTGCAAGCGGTCTTGCTGGAATCGAAACATCTAAAGTTAGTTCATATTCTTCATCAGTGAAATCTGGATCTCATAGCATGACTTCTGAAGCTTCTGGAGTCGTTCATGGATCAACTGTGGGCGCCACAGACAAGTTGATAGGATCTGCTGGAGCTGGAGCTTCTGGCCTTCATTCTGCAGCTATTTCTGCTCACAACAAGGAATACATTGGCGGCGGTCTAGCTGCAAATAGTGAAAGTTCTGAAAGCATCAAAGCTTCTGGCTCCGTTGTAGGAACTGGATCTCACCTGGTCACAAACAAAGTTGTAGATTCTGCTGATGCCGGAGCTGCTGCTCTTCACTCTGCAGGTCTTTCTGCTGCCTCTTTCAATGCACAAAATACTGGACATGTTGCTGGAGGAACAGCATCCAGTTCGTACTCTTCGTCAGAGAAATCTGCATCTCATAGCATGAATTCTGAGAGCATGAGCATCAAAGGTTCTGAAGTCGTTCATGGAGCAAATGTAGGCTCCGTAATAGGTAGTGGATCACACCTGGTCGCTAACAAAGTGATCAATTCCGCTGAGGCTGCAGCTTCTGCTCTTCACTCTGCAGGTCTTTCTGCTTCAACTTCGGGTGCTCACAGCACAGGATTTGTGGCCAGCGGTCTTGCTGCAACCGCTGGAAATAGTGCATCCAGCTCATACGCTTCATCAATGAAGTCGGGATCTCATGGCATAAGTTCTGGAAGTGTGAGCATCGAAGCTGGATCGTCTGTAGACTCTCTTCTTGGCAATGCTGGAGCTGCGGCTTCGTTTCTACATTCTCCAGGTTCTGCTGCTGCATCTCTCGGTACACTTACAATCGAAAAGACGGTGGGCGGTCATGCTGGCTTGGGAGCCGCTGGAGCTGGTGTATCTGGTTTGAACTCCTGGCATCTAAGCACGAATGGCTTTGGAGCAGGACACGGACTATCAGTTGGCTCTGTTGGGGGTAGCGGAGCACATGAGGCCGCTGCGTCACTTATGCAAGGCATTTCAAGCGCTCTTCTTGGAGCTGGCGCCTCGGCATTGTCGCCTGTTGGTTCAGGAAGCGCATCTCTTAAAGGGCAAGGCGGACACTCACACTCGCTGTCCTTTGGAGGCAGTCACTCGTTTGGGGCTGCAGCAAATAGCGATGCCAGCTCAGGATTTGATTTTTCGGGTACCATTGGAAGCACCATGAACCACGCTGGCGGATTTTTGATCGGTTAGTCTCCGATACTAATCCAAAACTTAAATTTTTGTATTTCTTAGTGTTATTTTAGTTTGGCCTTAAACATAATTAAATACACTTTTATTCAAAACTGCACGGCCTTTACTAAGCTTTACAAAGAAACTGAAACCAATGTAAACTGTACTCTTGGTTATTCACTGCGGAATTGCTGCAGTGTTCCCTTTCGCTGTCTTCTTTGCACTTTACCGTTTGTTGTTGGTCACTGCTTACACCAATGCACGCACCGACTTGTCCACTGCACGTCTCATAGCTGCATTGTTGTTAGTGTTAGAGAGAGAGCGAGTGTTGGGAGAGCGATGATGTTCAAGGACAGATCAAAAGGGAGACGGAAGCGAGGCTTTGACTAGAACGCGAGAGAGCGGTCCGATGGATAGAGAGAGAGCGGCAACGTGCGTACTCAGTTTGATTTACCGATGGCACTGCATTCAATTTGCACCAAAGGTGTAGGTTATTCGTGACATTCTACTGTACTTGCGCTCGTGAAAATAAAGAGACAAGAATTACACAAACAAAATGCATTTCTTTTCCGGTAAGGAAATATTAAACGGATTGTCCGCATCGAGTTGTGTGCTTTTAAGAATCATTGCAAACGTGTGTCGTGTTAGTACCGTCAATATGCACTTGTGTAATAAAGTTTTCCCTATTGTTAGCTTGAATCTGTTTACGATTGAATTTTATATTTTAATCTTTAATGATTGAATGACGTCGACCTTTATGGGTGCAGACGTAACACCTCCGCATTTCATTTAAATATAAATCAATCTAATCTCAGTCGAGTTAAGAGTCAATGCAGTTATGTACATACATATGTACATATTTTATATATATTTCCCAACCCATTTGTGATTATATTGGTACATATCCGTAAAAGATTAGAGTCCACAATTAGATGTACACCAAGTGGCTGGGATACTCTTTTTTTAATGATAAGTATATCATCGATCATTTGGCCTACATTGGCTGGCAACATTCGATGGCTGCCATCATCTCCAGAATGGGATTTTTTACTCTTTAGCGTAGTTTCCAGTATTTCTAGACAATCGACATTATTCAAATGATGATAAATGTGTTGGAACTCGTTATTGTTTTCTCCGAGATTTAATTATTTTAGCTTTTGTTAGCTTGACCCTAGGATCTCTCTGGCTTGGGAACGTGACTGGGACTCCTCACACTCGTAAAAACATATGCACACATGTACATACATATGTAAATGTACATACATCCGTCTGGGTTACTGTTCTTTTTTGCGCGATCTGTGAGATTTGTATTTATTTCGTTATTATTTGTACTTTTTTTTACCTTTTTCCTATGTAGAATCTAATAAAAGCCCAAGCCTTTCCGTGGCACGTCGTTAGTTAGTTGGAGGCAAAGGTTCCGATGAGACTGTTCATAGTGCTGAGTGTTTGTGTGGCTTTAGCTTCGGCCGGATACGGTGGCGGCGGTTACGGTGGCGGTGGATACGGTGGCGGCGGTGGCGGTCACGCATCGGCTTCGTCTTCGGCATCGGCTTCGGCTGGTTCTATAGCGGGCGGCGGAAAATTTGGAGGTGGCCCTGGATCTAGCGGTGGCTTCGGAGGTGGCGGTGGCCCAGGATTTGGCGGTGGAAGTCTTGGCGGTCCATTTGGCGGAGGCGGCGGCCAGCACGGCGGCGGCGGCGGCGGCGGCGGAGGTGGACTTGGTGGAGACTTTGGTGCAGGTGGAGGATCTGGCGCATCTTCAGCGGCTGGTTCTAATGCAGTGGGTGAAGCCGGTGGCCATGGCGGTGGTGGTGGAGGAAACTTATTTGGAGGAGGAGGATCGCTCGGTGGAGGTGGCGGACACGGATCCGGCGGAGGAGGTGCTGGACACGGAGCCGGCGGAGGAGGTGCTGGACACGGATCGAGCGGAGGAGGAGGATTCACAGGAGGTGGTGGACTTGGCGGCGGAATCGGAGGAGGCGGTGGACATGGCAGTGGTGGAGGCGGCGGACCTGGCTTTGGGAGCGGTGGACATGGATCTGGTGCTGCACATGGTGGTGGAGGAGGAGGACCGATCGGAGGAGGAGGTGGTGGACATGGACCGATCGGAGGAGGAGGATTCGGCGGAATTGGAGGAGGCGGTGGACATGGCAGTGGAGGAGGCGGCGGACATGGCAGTGGAGGAGGCGCTGGAAGCGGAGGACATGGCTTTGGAGGCGGCGGCAGTTCTGCTGGATCAGGTGGTGGACTGTTCGGAGGTGGACACGGATCTGGCAAGCCTGGCGGTGGCTTCGGCGGAGGTCACACTGGAGGAGGCCCAGGCTTTGGAGGTGGCGGAATCGGCATTGGACATGGCGCAGGTCTTGGCGGTCCCTTCGCTGGAGGCTTTAGTGGTGGTTATGGCGGCGGCGGCAAAGGAGGCGGATACGGAGGCAGCGGCGGCGGCGGTGGCGGTGGCGGAGGAGGCTTTGGCAAGGGAGGAGCTCACTCAAGCGCTTCTTCGGCAGCTTCGGCGACAGCATCTGCCGGCAGCGGTGGCGGCTACCACGGCTAATAAGCTATAGGTCTACGCACACTTTTCCCTAATTTATAACCAGTTTTACACAAGACTTCAATAAAGATTTCAAACGTCAAGCGACAACTGTCAGAATAATCAGAATCAGGACTTTCCCATCCCTGACTTCTTCCCGCCTGTCAAAAACTATGTATGGAGCGACAATCTTTCATAAGTTTGTGCAAATTCTAAGCGGCACACATTAAAAGTTGTAAAGCAAACTGGGTGAGAGCTGTTAATGTGGGAAGTCATGTCCCAAGTGTCTCGCTGTGGCAGTCACGATTGAAAACATTTCCCCTTTTGGGAAGAAGACTCACAGACTGAGAACTTTCCATCAGAATTAATGGCCTATTAAAGGGCGCCAGATGCCTAAGAAAACCAAAAGACATTGATGCCACTCACGGCCACATAAATCTTTTAAATGGCTTGGACAGACTTCTCTCTCTCTCTCTCTCTCTCTGCCTGAACTTTATGTGTCCCTCGCAAACATTTATCATTAAGAATAGTTTTACTATTGCAAATTGTTGCGCACAATTCTCCAACGGGGGAACGGAGACAGCAAATTGAAATCTTGGGCAAGTTCCTTGGTCTCCGTCTCCGTCTCAGCCTCAACTTGCAGTTTTATTGCCAGCGGAAACTGCAGCAGGAGCAGGAGCAGGAGCAGGAGCAGCAGCTGGTCCTTTCCTTTGCTGCTCGACCGCGCCCGCGAACTCTGTTTGAGTCCAATTTGCACAAGGACGATGAACCCCTGTGGTGCAGTTTTGCAACATTAAAGAGAATGCCAGTCTGGGACGGGGCTGCTGTCTGTCTGTCTGCTGGCGGCTTGCCACGGAGTCACATTTGGTCCGTGCGATGGCAACAGTTGTGGGCCCGGCCCCCCCATTTGCCTTTGTCCAACTTTTGCGAACGAGCCATATTGTGGGACACTTTTGCTGGGCAATAAAATAAATGTAAAAATATTTATCAAGGTGTTCGTATGGGTATTTTTGAGTTTGCCAGCGCCTCAAAGTATGCCCGGCCCATGCCATCAGAGCTGAAAGTAGGCAGCACCGAAATTTGCGCCGAAACTTTAATTAAAATTAAATAATTCACATTGCACATCGCATTTGAGGCACGGAGCATGTTTCGCATCGATATCGCTGCCGGTCGGTCGCAAAAAGGGGTTCGCTTTGTTCATTAGCCCCGGGCCTCGTAATTGAAAAGTTTGCACTGCAAACGACGCTCTCGTAATTCAATTTTCGCATCTGCGAGCGGTTGGTAAAACCCTGCAAAATGGCCAGCAACAATAACGGAACGAGAGCGGGCCGGCAAGCATGCGAAAATCATACAAAGTTGGTGGGGTGCCCGCCGTGATTGTGCGTTTACATAATTAACATGACGTTCATTAGTTGGCATTTTAATATTATTTCTTGTTGTCATTGGCAACGCGTTTTGCCCAGCCCATCGGCTACTGTTCATAAATATTTTTAGTTGAAGTGAATTATTGAAGCAGCGAAGTGCATTTCAATTGAGAACTATTTTGTGTGAGCTGCAATCGCTTTGGTTGACTGCAGTCTAATGTTAATAATTCAATGCCAATAAACAAACCAGTGAAGTAATTACATAGTTTTCATAGAGCCCAGACTTATGTAAACACTCGACATGCCTCAACATTAATTTGGCAACAAAACGATTAGACAACTGACTGAGGCCCGACCGGTTTCATTAACTGATTATGAGCTGGATGCTTTGCATAAACAAATAGGCAAATGTCGATAAACAAATTTATTATGAACAAAATCATGAGCTATCCCAATAGGCAATAGTTTAGGAATATCCATCGAAGATCACTTTCCCTCGATGAGTAAAAAGAGAATCTAAAATGCAAAAAAATCACCGAATTCTTGCTCGTTTCTAATTGCCTTTTTTCGCACATTTTGGCTGGAAAGCCCCTGCGCTGGGAGACGCTAATCTGACCGAATAACACTAGTAAACACAATTTTACCGATCGATTTTCTTTAGGTACAAATTTGTTGTGCAAAGAACTTGAAAAATGTCTCAATCCCCAAACAAAAAGTTCAATTTTTGTGGTAAGTATAATTAGATTCGCAATGACGAAACTGCAACTGGGTTTGCCATATATATTTTATAATTCCCATTTCGCTTCGCATGGGAGTCATTATTATTGTATACTTGAATTGCTAATACAAAATTGGGGATTCTCAACTGAAATGACCAGATTGTGCGTTATCATTAGGTTGTGTGATTTTTTGGTCGATAATGAAACGAGCAAACAATTGACTCTGCCTTCAAGTTCGTAGACTTAAAATAGCCCAGAGAGAGTTCGAGGTTTTCACATTTGCCATGAACAGTTCAGGATTAAATATTTGTATGTTGTACTCTCCATTCTGCCATATTTTGTAAGCATTTGTTCCAAGTAAAATAAATGACTGACAGAAGGTGGCTAAATGCAAAATGACATTTCACATCGTTGATTAATCGTACAACGAAAGTTTCTGAATGGAAACCAACGAGAGATGTATATGGAATATTAATCATTAATCACTTTTATTGCCTGTAAGTTCGTTTGCAACCTTAACAAACAATTTTCTAGAGTTCAAAACTGACACAGTAATATTATTATTTACTCCTCAACTACAAATTGGCAACTGCTGGCGGAAAGTTCGAACGGAGCGGAGCACTCCCTGCGATAGACTGACTCCCTGTAGAAATATTGAACAATTAACACTTGGAGAAATGCTGAAGGAAGTCAGTGGCAGCATCGGTATTTAAAGGCGTCTCTGCCAGCGAGCCACGTGCACGTATTTTTTGGAAACAACGCCATCAAAACCGCTTTCGACGAAACAAACCGAACCGGGGGAATAAACTCTTCAAGATGAACTTGTCAGATGATCGGCCTTAGAAAATATCAAACGGGCGAGCTGTGTGAGGCACTTGTGACCAGTGGGGAACTACGCAGACCAGGAAGCCCTCAAGCATCATTTGAATTAGTAAACAAACAACACAGACAGCGCCTCTTCTATTGCAGACACTCGACCCCGACTCCTACGAGTACGATTACGAGTATGTTTGGGCTGTGGTCCATAATTATGCATGCTCGTATCTGGTAACGGGTTTGGGGATTCACCCGGCCACTGATAATTAGATATAAAAGCAAATGAAAAGAAAACCGGTAGATGATCTGTTCGGGGCGGCCATTTGTCACAAGCCGAGTTCGGGCAGCATTTTGGATAAATACTTTTGGGGCTGTGGTGTGTGACCGTCAGTTCATTTCTTGACGGCTCAGCGCTCGCTCATACATAAAGGCAGAAAAGAACACGCAACTATGAAGACCCTCATTGTGTTGGCAGTTCTGGTGACCATTGCCTCGGCCCTTCCTCAATTCGGAGGCTTTGGAGGCCCAGGATTCGGTGGACCCGGCTTCGGCGGCTTCGGCGGCGGCGGCTATGGCAGACCAGGCTTCGGTGGACCCGGTGGATTTGGTGGCGGTCCCGGCTACGGCGGCTTCGGTGGCGGTCCCGGCTATGGCGGTTTTGGTGGCGGTCCTGGATTTGGAGGCGGACCCGGCTATGGCGGTGGTGGCTTTGGAGGCGGCGGTCGTCGACGTCACGGCGGTCATGGTGGCGGAGGCGGCGGTGGCGGCGGTGGCGGCGGTGCCGCTTCTGCTTCGGCTTCTTCCAGTGCTTCGGCGGCTGGTGGCGGCGGAGCTGCTTCATCATCAGCCTCCTCATCCGCCTCAGCCTCGGGCGGTGGAGGTGGCTTCTATGGATAGGCCGCCTGTCCATTGTCTATGCTTAAGTTAGGGTTAATGTTTGAAGAAAGTCTGAAAAATATAAAATCCAAAAAACCGAAACACAAGAGCTGTCTCCATTCCGGCTCGACGCCAACTACGATGCATAAAACTGCCGTTAATTCATGCATATAAGTGGGGGAAATAATAAAAATAGTTGCACACACATTGGGTGGGCTTTTGGCTGATGATGATGATGATGATGCGGGTGGGGAGGTAGTATGGGTACCAGCAATGCCCTACTTATTAGCAAGCGGAGCACTGGGACTCCCCTGCAATCCACTATTGCAACACAGAAGCAGATAAATGTTTATTGTTTAACTCTCTGCATAGCATTTTGAACAAATAACAATAAGAAAACAAATTCAAAACTCGACTTGGTGAGCTTTTAATTGAATTTGTGCATTTATTGGACAAATTAGAATGTTGAACTTGGCAAAATCAAAGTAAACAAACATATGAATATGTATGTCCAAAGGTTGCGCCTTTTCAGATGTTTTTGAGCAATGAAATAATTCAGCATAAATTATTGCGACCGGCTCATTTATTTATCTGTTTCGGACATAATGGTGAAATGAAGTTGAAGTCTTCGATAGAGATGCCTAGATTCAACTACACAGAAAGAAAATGAGTTCAATAAGAAATATTTAAATATAAAATATTAAATATAAATATATCTTCGGCTGCAAGTCGAAGGACTGTGAATAAATATAAATAAAAATATAAAAATTCGCTCGCTAAACACCAGAATCTGCTGTAAAGTTTACTATAGCCAGAGGACAATCAGGTCCCAAATGAAATTTAAAATCATTGATTTAATCATCATGTTATACTAACGGCAGTGCAGCTCTTTTTGCCACCACCAAATTCTGGTCCGATTTGTTAGACTTTTCTTGTTCAACTTTGTGGAGATCGTTCCCACTCGGAAGTGCACGTCAGCATCAGCAAAAAGGAATCCCAAAACAGAAACAAGCAAAAACGAAAAACATTCAGAAGAACCGGTTACAGTGGGGGGATCGACTGTGTAGGGTACAATCATCGTACGCCCCGAACTTGCTAATGAGCCAAGCCATAAATATTGTTAATTTGCTGGGGCATCGATTCGGTTCGCTTCTCTGGTTCAGCAGATGGCTTTCCCGGTTTATCTATGGCTCAGAGAATGTATAAAAGGCGATCCCCGGCGGGGTAGTAGTTAAGTTTGCGAAGCTCTCTCGAGGGAACACAAGCAAAGTCATGAAATTGTTTATCGCGCTCTCCGTTCTGGTGGCCGTGGCCTCGGCCCTGCCACAGTTTGGCGGCGGCAATGCCAATGCCAATGCCAATGCCAACGCCAACGCCCAGGCTCAAGGATTTGGAGGCGGCGGCTTCGGCGGACGTCCTGGAGGCGGCTTCGGAGGCGGCGGTTTCGGCGGTCGTCCTGGCGGCGGCTTTGGAGGAGGCCCTGGCTTTGGAGGCGGTCCCGGTGGTGGTTTCGGCGGTGGCCCTGGATTCGGAGGTGGTCCTGGATTCGGCGGCGGCGGCTTCGGTGGACGTCCCGGCGGTGGCTTCGGAGGCGGCGGCTTCGGTGGACGTCCCGGCGGTGGCTTCGGAGGCGGTGGCGGTGGCAGTAGTTCCGCATCCGCATCGTCCTCGGCTTCTGCTGCCGGTGGTGGTGGTCGTGGCGGCGGCGGCTCCGCATCCGCATCTTCCTCTGCCACTGCCGGAGCCGGCGGACGCGGTCGCGGTTAAGCCGTTCCATAAGATATTCTGAAATAATTGCTAAGAAATGACTGTGAATAAAACATAACATAGAAAACTAAATTGACTTGATTGAAAGGGGAAGGGGGAGCATTATCAGCCTTATCAGCAATCAAAATGATTTCCATAAATGATACAAAAATTGAACTTGGAGCTTTAAAGCTCAATATACTGGTTCAGCCTGGTCTCAGCATAAAACCAGGAGGAACGTTGTGAGACGCTTTCCTTCTTGTCTCAACTTTTATACCCGTTACGCAGGCAGTACATAAATACATATGTACATATGTATGGGATACATTGTACATTTTTATGTATATTTCTACATCTGTCATAGTAGATGTATATCTTTTAGCACTTTTCACATTCAATATATCTCATTTAATCTTCGAGTACCTGGTATACAATATAATAATTTGCATTTTAAATTAGACGGAAGACTTTGACGTATGAATACGTTAATATGTATGTATGTGTGGACCTTTGCCAAAGAGTTATGCTAAGTTGGTAGGGGCCTGTTCGGCAGTCAGGAAATTACAGCGAGCTAAATATTATAATATTTATACACTTTTATTGCCTGAAATTAATTCACTTTGGGTTCAGAGCGTTAGCGCCATTTCTCTAAAGCGAAACAAATAATTTGTAGCTGAATTTTAAATTAACATAAAAGACCAGACTGTGAGGGAAATCGTTTAGAAGCGTAAAAGGTGCGTTACAAAACTATACAACTTTACGTTGGGCAGTGTACAAAATTGGTTAATAAACAGCCTGCGATATAAGTTTCTTATAGAATCATTAGAGTGTTTTGTGGATGTCATTTTTCTGCCTAAATATTCGTTTGCTTGTGCACGATAATGTTTTAGGTATTAGCTGGCAAAAGTACCCGCAGCAATGATCATTAGCCCTCTCCTTATGGCTCTCCATTTAGTGCCAAAAAAAAAAAGAAACACAAATATTAATAATCTGTTAAATATTGATAGACGTGAACCGGTTTCATTGGCAGCCAGACACGCGTGGGTCCGCAGCATTCGCAAACTTTCCTCTTAGTGCTTCGGCTGGTTGCATTTGATCAAAATTCAGACATGTCCACTACCCATTTTACCGGCCCCGACTAGATCGCTGCTCTCTATGTTGTTTGTTGTTTTTGGCCATCAGTTTTGTTTGCATGCTAATTCGCTCCCGACTTCGTTGGCTGGGCCAGATGCTTGGCGTCTAGAGAGCTATATAAGCCGGGCCCTGCGGCAATGTTGGCTAAGTTTCTTGACTAACTCCGGACACGCAAAGCATCATGAAGGTCTTCGTCGCTCTCGCCATTATTCTCTCCGTGGCATCGGCTGCCCCACAGTTCGGTGGTGCCGACGCCAACGCCAGTGCCAGCGCTGCGGCTCAAGGGCAGGGCGGCAACGGCGGTGGATTCGGAGGACTTGGCGGACGTCCTGGTGCTCAATTTGGAGCTGGAGGCTTCGGTCGTCCCAACCAGGGTGGAAACGTAGGCTTCGGCGGCCCCAACCGAGGTGGAAACGGTGGCTTCGGTGGTCCAGGAGGCTTTGGCGGTCCAGGAGGCTTCGGTCGTCCAGCAGGTGGCTTCGGTGGCGGCAATGCCGATGCTAACGCCAATGCAGTCGCAAATGCCGAGGGAAATGGATTTGGAGGAGGCAATGCCAACGCCAACGCCAATGCCAATGCCAGTGCCAACACCCGCGGTGGCGGCAACGCCAGTGCCAGTGCCAGCGCCGTGGCCAACGCTGTTGGCAAGTAATCCATTAAGACGATCTGAATTTCCCAAGTGATTTTGTTTTTTAATATTTACAAATAATTACAAATATTTAAAAAGAAAACAACTGAAAACAATGCCTCTAGACTTTTCGGTGCAAAGATCAGGGATTGACTTTAAGGAAGGAATGGAAAGGGAAAGGGAAAGGGACTTCGATTTCGAAATATTATTTTTCCAAATTTTCTGCCACTCGTTGCTCAAGAAGAAAACATTATTTTTCGATCTTGTACCCTCGATTATATTGCAAAGAGGATAATTATGCACAAAGGACTTGATGATAATCCTCAAAGGAAGGATCGAATCACTTTATTATAACATCAATATAGGTGGTTGATTGGTCAAACTTCAAAGGTTCCTGGCCAAAAAGGAAGCTGACCAGTTTAAAATTGATTAGAGGAAAGTCATTTGTGTGAGACCAAATTGTGTGATTTTGAAAAACTGCAACTAAAAGAGTAATAAAAAGTTATTTGCATAATTAATTCGTTTCTAGGTCCAGTAAATCTCTGTACCACTGAAGGATTACACTCGAAAGGATTTATTTGTAGTTGTATTTGCTGTATTCACTCTCTAGCTAATTAATTTGTTTCTTTTTTTAACCGGTACCCATTTGAATAACTAAAATCTATGTTATCTAGATCGTTCATTGTGTATTTTTATTACATTTCTCTTTTGGTGTTTATTGGGTTTGCGGAGATTTGAGTATGACGCAGGTACACTGAGAAAAATAGCTACTAAAATTTCACCATAAATGGTTGCTTCCAGATAACTTGTTTAACTCTCCATAATCCGTAGACATCCCGTTCCACATGATTTCAGGGACACAACACAAGCCAAGCCTTTGCCATGTTTTAGTCGATGATGTTTGTGTTTCGCCTGGCCAAATATGAATTATGCAAATGAGTTGATCAAATCAGAGTCATAAATGAAGTAGCTCTGATAACACGTTTCTTCCCGAGACGGCTACCGCAGAAATTATGCGAATATTAACACACACCTGTCCAATCACATGTTGCTGGAGCTCTGCATATTTTTAGGCGATTTCTAATGTTCCCAAAGTGGTCAGGTTTTGGGCAAAAACAAATCAAAACAAACAGAGTTTCGTTGCCGAAAAAAGTGCTTTTTATTCAAAGATTTTCTCGTTTTGAGTTAGCTTCAGATCCAGATCAATAGTGGCGACCGCGTCCACCACCTCCGGCAGAAGCGTTGGCATTCGCATTAGCGACGGCAGAAGATGGTCCATGTCCTGAACCAAGAGCCTCAGCATTGGCATTTGCAGTAGCGCTGGCACTGCCACCACCACCGCCTCCACGTCCACCTTGTCCAAAGCCGCCGCCGCCATGAACAACTGGGCCAAAGCCAGGACCACCACGGCCAGGTGCTGCCTGAACGGCGACAAGAGCGAGGAGCAGAAAAGCGCACAGAGCAAAGAACTTCATCGTTGTAGCTTGCAATGATTTCTGAGAGATTCCCGGCCACTTTTATACAATTCCTGCAACCGTACAACTTGATAAATAATAATTAATAAAGACCTGTTTTTTTTTTAAAGAACTTCGCTTGTTTTTTTAATGTAGATCAGAATTGGTTCGTGTTTGAATATTAGATGCACATATCTGAGGATGTTTATGTGTACATTGTACATACATATATTTTGGAGTATTTCCCATCTAAAACCATAGTTCATGAAGCATTTTTGGAGCCCCATAAGTTTGAGGAAAGTTCTCGAACAAACTCAACGGTGGTAAAGCCTTTTAGCTGTGCACTTCCGTCAGATAACTATTTTGTAATGCCTCAAACTCCTAAATAATTCTTCAATTTGTCTCTAATTTTATTCACAGCTGTTCCTTCTGCTTCTTAGAACTCTCTCAAGCATCTGGCTCCAGTAAAAACAAACAGATGTTGGTGATAATGTTCTATCAGGTGTTTCGTGTTTTCTTAAACAAAATATGAATTAATTAAGCTTGCTAATCGAATCAAAGTCATAAATTTAACACAAAAACTGGTTTGTGACCGACTACTGGATAACTCCGGATAGCAGAAAAAAAGCTATTTGGATGGCGTGGCTTCGTGGTGTATATTTTGTAGAGCTGAACAGAATCTATGGATGTTTCCTAAAAATCTTTTAGCTATACAAAATCTATTCATGTTCAAAATGTAGCTTCCGCACAGAAATGTTTTTTATTCAAATGTTAATGTCCGTGGAGGCCCGTCAAGGGACGTGCCCATTTTTGCAGTTGCTTCGTATCCGGATGTCGTTCCAGGTCGATCCGTGAAGGCTCTCTCTTGAGTTAGCCGCGTTTGTTGCCGCCACGGCCAGCGGCACCGCCCTGGGAAGTGGCAACAGCATTGGCATTGGCTGTGGCCGAGGCGGGTCCATTTCCTGAGCTCAGCGCCTCAGCATTGGCATTGGCAGTGGCCGTGGCACCGCCACTAGCACCACCAGCACCACCGGCTGGTCCACCACGGCCAGGTGCTGCCTGGACGGCGACAAAAGCGAGGAGCAGGAATGCGAACAGAGCAAAGAACTTCATCGTTGGAGCTTGCGATGTTCTCTGGCTGGAGCGCACTCCCTTATATACCCAAAGCCTGGGCTAGACTACTTTTTCTGAAGATGTGTTCATTTATTTTGTTTATTTTTCAAGCTAATGAGTTCCAGGGCTATAATTCATGTGTTAGTGGCTCCGTTTAGCACATATATTAGGCATAGGAACGTGTGAGACGTGTGGTTGCGGGTTGGCTGCTTGAATAGATTCATTCGGTCCAACATTAAAGCTAAATAATTACATACAAATGTGGGAATGTGTGAACAAAGTTTTAGTTCAGCAACATCCTGATGTTAGATTTTAATTTGTTTTGCACAGTTCCAGGGTATAGTTTTAGGCGCTGTTCAAAAATTGATTCCCCAAGGTATGCTTTGCGGCATTCACGTGGAAATATTTATGAATATGAATATAACAAAGGTAAACAATTTGCCAGCATGGACCATAGTTTTACTTAAGTGAAAAAAGAATGTACAATTAAAATGAAAATGATTTTAGTTTAATCAAACTCCATACACAAAAATGCATCTATTCCTCTTATTTTTCACCAATCAATGTACATTGCAGTGCCCAAGCTTAAGAAAATAACCAGAATTGCCAAAAAACCTTCGATACATACATACATATTTACATATGTACATATGTACGTACATACATTTCTATATTCGACCCGCAGCTACATGCAGTTTAACGCCTGCTCAAGTTCAAATGGAAATTAACGTGTTGTGTTTATTTTATTACGGATTGCTTTCAAAGTTGAACGGCGAACGTGAGAGTCATTGGTAAACCCCCAAAGAGCCCTAATAATTCGACGAATCGATGAATGAATAACCAGTAAAGCGAGCGCCGCCGATCAGCTCAGCTGCCGGAACATGAAAGCTCCCAAATGTATGACGACAACTTTTAAGACGATTGCCGGTTTCCGAACGCAGGTGGGCAGCATTCAGCTTGTGGGTTTGCCAGCTGTGTTGGTCTCTTTGGTTACATGGGTTCGCTGATTTAACAATCTATAGAATTATTCAAATACGCGTACAAGAGGTTGCCAGCGAAGAGTGCAAGGCGTATAAGGGAAACTGAACGGAACTGTTCTCAGACAGCTTTCTTCTCAATTCTCAAATGTGGACAATTAAAATGTAAATGAAATGCGTTATGGATATTGTCGCACCTCTTTTTTGTGTGCAAGCCCCGAACTCATTTCATTATTATGTCATACAGGCAGGGATACAAGGCTAAAGTTGATTGGTGAATCAACAATGGGTTAAACGCAGACTTAGTTTTTGCTTTGTTCAATATCCAACGCAAAACTCGAATGGAATTTATAGTTTTATTTATAGTTTATACAATCGTTCATCTCTTCAGCATTTCTCTTTTATCCGTACACAATATTTTGCACAATATTTGTTATTCGCGGTTATTTGTTTGCCTTCCACGGTGCGGATTTGTCTCTCGATTTATTTAGTTTTTGGTGTATCACGCTGTGCGGTCTGCTGGGTGATATTTAAATCTTGTTTTAATATTTAACTCGTTTAGAATATGAAATATGTCTAAAAGCAATCGAGTATCAATCGCTCATTCTTCTCCTCCTCCCCGTTATGGCAAGCTGGCCTTGACAAGGCCACATTTTTGGTTGTAGAGCTTCAAGATCGATGCGTACGCACCACCGAAGAGTAACCGTAAAGCACCTCCACGCCGTCGGAATTGAAGATGCGCTCGACACGAGGCGCCCGCGTCTGTATGGGACGTGGCGCGGGAGTTGAGGAAACAACAACATTGGTGGTGGTAATTGTTGTCTCTGGGATAACGGTTGTGCTTGCGGCGAATGTTGTTGTACTCTCTGGCGTGCTCGTCGTGATGGGAGAGCTCGTCGGGATGGGAGAGCTCGTCGGGATGGGAGAGCTCGTCGGGATGGGAGAGCTCGTCGTGATGGGAGCGCTCGTCGGGATGGGCGTGGTGCTTGGCACTTGCGTGGGGGGGATGGTGGTGGTTTCTGGAGCTGGCGTTGTTGTTTCTGCGCTGCTCGGAATGCTCGGTACGTTTGTTGTCCGGATCTCTGTCGCTGTCTCTGTCGCTGTCTCTGGAACTTGAGTGGTGATCGGTAGGCTGCTGCTGGTCTCCATGACATTGGCGGCTGTGGTCTCTCGCTGAGCTTCTAGAACAATGGCCCGTTTGGTGGTAAGGAGTGGAGGTTCAGCGCTTGTGGTGGTTATTGGAGCATTCGTTGTGGTCTCTATAGTCTCAGTGGTTGTCACCAGCTGGGCTTGGGTGAATGTAGAAAGCGGTGTGGAACTCAGCTCTGTTTTCGGTAAGGGAAAATAAAAAAAGTTACTTTAGTTTAAATAAATCAAATGATAATCTAATATTTTACCTGTTGTTTCCTGTATTGCTTCCACTGTGCTGGTTTCCTGCTCCTCCTGCAGTGTGGTTTCCAGTGTGGTTTGCTCGTTGGCGATTGCTTCGGTGGTGGCCAACCCAAGGAGGCCAGCCTCAGTGCGGGACTCTTCTACTTCTGGAAGTATTCTGGGTGTCGCCACCAACTGGACTTCGTCTGCAATTATGAGTGGCAACATTGTGGCTCCAATTTTAGCTTCAAATTGATCTTCTTCGCTATTGAGGACCAAATTCTCTTCCACCAAATTTGCTGTTCCAGTGGTTCCAGGCTTGCCTTGGAAGAAGCTATTCAAGTTCTTGCCCTTGGTCGGTTCTGCGGTTGTTGTCCCCAAAGTTGTGGCACTTATCGGTTTCTTGGTTTCTGCGATCCTTGGCCTTTCCGTTGTTATCTCGCCAACTTCGCTGGTCCCTGGCTGTGCGGTCTGCGCTCGTTCTGCCTCTAATTGAAGTACAACGGACTCGGGCAAGGGTTCCTCCGTAGTTCCAAACGGACTCTCCGTGGCCTCCGAGAATACCTCTCCCCGCGCATCGGTGGTTAGTATGAGGTCGGTGACGAAATCAATCGTAAATGTGCCCGACTCAACGGGCGCTAGCGAGGACGACTCCTCCTCGTCGGTGGGTGGAGGCACAGTGGTTACAGTTTCTTCTGCATCAGCTGGAGAATCCTGTGCTGGGGCTGCCTGCGCGGCTGCTAACAGCAGCAGCAGCAGAGCAATCAGCGGCGTGTGCGACATTTTCAATTCGATCGATAAACTGAATGTCCGGAATGCGAGGCGACTGGCAATGAATCGCCTCAAAAACGTTCACTTTGTCGCTTTGTCCAAACTTGCTCCTCGCTCAAAGCTCTCTCTTTGTCTCCCTCTCTGTCTCTCTCTCTCTGAATATCACTCTCTCGGAACTGGTTCACTTGGGTCCATTGGCTTCCGCTGTTCCACGCTGCTGCTGTGTTGTGTTGTGTTGTGTTGTGACTAGTGTTGTTTGCGGCGAGGAACTAAACCGCTTGCAGCTTCGACCGCAGCTTATAAGGCGACAAGCGAAAGCGCCCATTTGAAAACTGTTCCCGGTCTTCGCTCTGCGACTGAGCATTTGGTTTCTCAGCTGCTTTTGGCAACTGTTTTTCATTCGCGACTCTGTCTCTCTTGACGTGGAGTGCAGCTGCGTGTGGTAAGCTGAGGCGCTGGGCGCACTTGGCCCAGAAAACATCTTTTAAATGGCACTTCCCCCTCTCCAGTTCAATTGAAATTTCACTTTCAACGCGGCTCACCTGTGCTCACCTCTGATCCGAGCATCGATCGTTGTCTTCGACATTGTGTGGCCGTTTCTGTGGCCAAACCGGCTTTCTGGTATGCCAATTAGTTCGTTACAACTCGTCGGCCTCTCATAATTCGCTCGGTTATTCAACTAATTTTTAGTATTTAAATGCTGTGAGAAGGTCTCTGAGGTGGGTCGCTCATTCATTCTATCAGAACCAGCAAGAGCCTTTCTGTTTGTAGGAACATTTTGATTGCGGGCGTCACAACTTGTATACCCGTTACTCAGTCTGTATAAACTTGTGCTCAGGTCAGCCGTCTCCCCGTAGATTTTAATAAACAATGTCTTAAACGACGGTGAATTGTTGCACCTATACACCAAAAAATATGGGACAATGGTTATAATTTTTTTTCGATTTTTCCTAAGTTTTCAAAGTCGAAATTTCATAAAATATAGAGCACCAAAATTATACATTTTACATTTGCAAGCCTCATATCGCACAGACGGTAAGCTAAAACCAGATACGCGTTTGATAACAATATTTAGCTGCATCAAAAGGCTTTTCAGAATGATCAAGTTCTTTACAATCAGTCGTAAGATAGTTGAGTTATGCCAAAAAACAAAACGCCACCTCGGAAAAAAGCACAAAGAAATTGAAACACATTTAATTTCAAAGGTCATCTGCTTCCTCAACTTTCGCTGATCTGATAACTATAAACTGCATGACTGTACTCAGAAACTTTGACTCCGCCAATTGATTCATGACAGCATCGAGCTAAAGCCATTCCACATCCCATTACCAGGAAGAACTTTCATAATTAGCTCTTATCGAGCCAGAAAACTGACCACAAAACTGCCTCATCCCGCGGCAAAGTTGAACAACAACAGGAATAAAGATAGTTTTGTGTCAACTCGACAGAAACGTCTAGTGGCCCAATAGAATGATAACGAGTGGCAATAACAATGAACTGGGGGAACTATTGACACACATTTTGGTACATTTGAGCTGCGGGGTTTGCCGAGCTCAGCGGAAAGTAAACGAACCGAAAGGACGAGTGTAGCCCGCGAGTGTGGCTATGATTTATCTAATGAACGATGTTTGTGCGACTTTTGGCGACTGTCAGGACAACACTGAGAACACCTTCAAGGAGCTTCAATAACAACATTAAGCACGGCTCGAACAGGACGGCACTCATTTAGATTGAGCACTTGGCAGGCGGCCAACAAAAATATGACTCAAGGACTTTTTGGCAAGCGAAATCGTTTGCCCAACTGATGACTTCCAGCAAAGGAAACTATTAGCATTTTGTTGGAATATTTATGCAGATCTTCAGAGCAGCTGAAGGACAACGCTGGCCACTTGTTCGAGCGTAAACAAAGTATTCAGCCGCCTCTCCTCCTGCCATTTATTATTGAAGTAAAATCAATGCCTGCCCACGAGAAATATAATTTAAATGCAGAATGAAGTGAGCTTCCTTCCTGAGGGAGAAACTGAGGCCCTAATGCTCGGGCAACCATTAGGAAAACATTTTGAATGCAAATTTCGTTGGCCAACAAATGTAATTTCTGCTGGAAAGTTGCCTTGGACTTTGAAGTGGCGCGTCGGTGCTTACCGATTATGGCCCCTGATGCTAATACTTATTTCGAAATTACTTTGAATGGAAATGAGAGTTTCCAAATCAATTAATGGGCTCTGAAGTCAAGTGTGGCGAATCGATGTAACTCTCGAGAAGCTGCTATCTTGCAGCAGGCTCCGGCATGACTTTCAATGGCTCTTCAGTTCAACCGCAGAACCCAAGGAACTTGAAACTCTGCAACTCTGTTTATTTTATAATTTCATCTGCCATCGGCCAAGAGTTTATTCTGCCATTGTTCAAAGAGGAAACAATAGAAGCACGCCAGACGAGACGAGACGAGCCGAGCCGAGCATTGCAATTGTATTAAAAAAGAATTATTTTATAAATGGGAAATTGCGGGGGAAAAACCCCTTGCTGCGGGGATTCAGTTATCGAATTACAATGCATAAATATCAAGGATTGGCGACAGAAAATGCCAACTGTGTGCTGAGCCTGCATCCATATTTAATCCATATTTAAAAGCCCTCAGCTTGTTGTCGCTTATTTATTTTCTGCTGCACATTAAAGGCGTGCACTGAGCAAAAGTCTCACTTTGCCACAAGAACAAGTTGATTTAATAAATTATGATGCATCCACGAAGCTAATGACAGGCCCCGAAGGAGCCCTGCAATATCATTATAAGCCAAAGCAAAGTCAACAGAGCCACAGAGCTGGAGACTGGAACCTTCTAGTAGATGCTGAGCCACTAATTGACTTTAATTATTTTGTTGTACTAAATGTCTTGTTTACACAAGGAATAAGGACGAAGAGTTACGCAGAGAACACAGTGGGACAGACACAGAGATAGAGTGCATTAGGGGGCGGCACACTGACACTTCCAAGTCACTTGTGCTCCCTGGCAGGGCGAATGAACAGCAGCAAAAAAATAGTTGGAGATGCATTGTACAGATACTCGACTTTTAGATACCTTCTAAGCACTTCAAAGCTTTTATTTCATTTATTTTTACTAGGATACTCAAAGCAAATGTGGAGTAAACTTAAACTCTTCCGCAGGCTGCTTCAAACTTTCTTAATTTCATTTTGTGATGTACCCCAAATAGCTCTTAAATTACAGGGTATAATGGCAGCCAACAGCTGCTCCGGCGCACAGAAGGGCCTGAGTCAAAGTTAGTTAAAAGCAAAGTGCAAACATGTGGGAAACTTTAATTAAAGTTGAATTTGTGTCAGTTGTGCGCCTGCCACTGCGGTTGCATGTTTTGCTGAGGCTCCTGGCATCGGTGGCAAGGATAGGCGAGAAAGTACAACCTGCCATATGGCAGATGCCGGCGCAGAGCTCTTGAAGATTGTCAAAATATGTACTAGCTGCGAGTGCTAATGAGTTTCCAATCGTTCGCTCTACTGTTCAGCTGCCACTTTGGGGATAATATCACCTGCAGGTAATATCGAAACTCTGTTGCAGTCCTTTCTGCCATTGCTTCCTGTTTGTGTTCGCTTGTTTATTCAGCAACAGGAAGAGCTGAAAGTTTGCTCACAGTGGGTCCTCCGGAGAGCTGCTTCATTGCTTCTGTCAGCAGTCGCCAAGACGCCAACCCACGACAAAACGAAGGCAATTCGTTGGGCACGCGGCTTAAACTTGTCGCTGAAAGTGCACAACTGTGGCTCTGAAGGCTTCCTCTTCGATTCCCGTCCAAGGGAGTTGACTTTTCAGTTTAAATTAACCTCTAGCGCTGCTTGCTGCGACTTTTCTCTCGCCATTTATTTACCCGCCGAGGCCACTGGAGTCCAATGAAGTTTCTTGTGGTTTCCTCCAGGTTTGCCTTACAAAAATGTATTGTTTGAGCTGCGTGGAGCCAGAATGGTCATTAGGGGAGATGTCTTTAGACTGCGATAATGAAATACATATGTAAAAAATCCAATATCTACATTTGACACTTTTACGTTGCCGCTTAAAAGTATGCAGCAAGTTTTTGTTGCTCAGCAGAGGTTTTTTTTTTTGAGAACTAAAAGAGGTTCGAGTACTTAAGGATATTTATAGATATTCACACAACAAAATAACTCTCATTTTGTCTTACATTTATTTATTTTATAACATAAACATACGTTCCGATTTACTCATTAATTTGTACGCATAAATTAAAGTATTAGGGGAAGCAAAGAGGCAGAAATGGGTGCCGCAATCGGGATGAAAATGGATCTGATTAAACAGTTTCGGGCTCGACATTTGAAGCATTCAAGTAAGGGGATTCGTGCTGCGTTTATTGTTAATGATTGGAGAGGGGATGCCTGAGTGGATGAGTTGAGTGGATGGAGCGTAAGTGTTAAAATGTCATCACAGTCATATGAAATTGGGAGCGAGAGGGAGTCAATGCTTTTGCCGTCAAACTCTCGCGTAAAGTTGGTCCACGGGGCTGCTGGTGGTTACGAATCCAACCTGCAGCTCATCCTCCGTGGCTGTGGTCGTGCCCGGAGTGGTTGTAGTTCCCGTGGCTGGGGTCGTCGTCGTCTCGATCAGCTCCAATCCCAGGCCATGGGGCAGGTGAACGTTGGGTGGCGACAGCTGCGACATTTGCATTTGAATTTGATTCTGCAGCTGCTGGCGCTGCAGCTGCATGGCCAAGAAGCTGGCCAGATTGGCCGTCAGCTTCGCCTTGTGGTTCTCCACGCGCCGAATGTTCCGCACCAGTCGATTGTAGACCAAAGGCTTCACGTCGATGGCCCACAGGAAGTCCAAGTGGTTGAAGCGCTCCATGGGCACCAAGTACTTGTCGATGACGTTGGGCAGCTCCCTGGCCAGTCGGTCCACGCCTGTGGTGGACACCAGCAGATCGTTCACCGAGTAGTACAGGGCCACTGGCACCTTGACCCGCGACAGGTCATAGTCCGGCGGCGTAATCCGGTTGTACTCCAGCTGGTTTCTCAGATAGCCGCGGTCGAACTTGCGGAAATGTCCGGACTTCATCAGCTGGCCAAAGTGCTCCAGCTGCTTGATGGAAGCGCCCGAGGGCGTGTGGCTCAGCATCACGGGCAGCATTGTCTGCAGGCGAAAGGAGATGCATTCAGTTCAGGAAATTGCACAAAATATTGTTCCACCCCGAAACACAATGCTACACGGCCTAGACCATGTTGGACCATGTTGGCCATCGAGGCGGTTGCTGGGCGTTGGGAGGATATGTTTCTGGGTCCTAATTTGCATGCATTGTCGGGGGCTCTACCAGAGCTACCAGAGTGTGCCGGTTAATTATGCCAATTGCCAGCAACAAGCAGCGAAATTGCGACCCTCCGGGCGTGCACTGACATAATAGATAATGACACCCCCGCAATGGCAGTATCCCGCACCCGCCACACTGTGCGCCATAATTTCCAATCTGCGGTCGATTAACGTGCAAGTTATGCCCGGAGCTGGGGGCGTAAGCTTTGTTGGGGGATTAAGATAGTGGCCTGAACCTAGACCGAACAATCAAATAAACTATGTGACAATTGTGGACCCTCGCATCAGACATCTCTGCTGGAGTCATTGCAGCAACAACAATCGAATTGTGGCGGCTTAATGAAGTGCCAGGCTTAATGAAGAGAATCCAGCTGGATGCCAGCGACAGCCCATGGCACTTACTTTGTTCAGCTGCTCGGAGTTGTAGCCGGCCACCAGGAAGAGGATATTGGAGCAGACGTCCTGCGTCATGGCATTGTCGTGGCAAACAACCTGGCTGTGGTCCACCAGGAATTTTGTGTTGGGCATGAACTCCGTGATGCGCAGCATTCGTGTGGCGGCCTGTGGCGAAAGAGAGAGCAGAGTCAGAGTCAGCGGCAGCGGCAGGGAAATTGGCAGCGACTCGCACTTACTGTTAGAAAATCGAGGAAGAGCACCAGCGTGCGGAAGAGCGGGCTCTTCATGTCGTGAATGTAGGCAATGGGCGCCAAAGCGTGCATGGAGGTAATTTTCTGCGTGTACGAGGGCTGCTCCGAGCACAGCACCCAGAAGATGGCCGTGCCCTGGGAGTGCCCCACATAGTGGAGCTGCTCGTAGCCCGTTTTGCTGAGGATGTAATCGATGTTCGCCGGGAGATCGTACTTGCCCATCTCGTGGAAGGTAAAGTCCCAGAACTCCTGGTAGTCGCTGTTCAAGCTGGTGTGGTTCTTCGAGTAACGGTTGCCACGTGAGTTGCCCATCCAGACATCGTAGCCCAGGTCGGAGAGCATGTAGCCTGTATGGGGAGAAGGGCAATTAAATCTCTGCGGCTGTTGTTCTTCTCCCTGACTCACCCAATCCCGATTTGGGACCCATGAGCACCCACGTCGCCGAAGTATCCAGAATGCCGTGCATCAGCAGCACTGGCTGCGCGCCTTTCTTTGGTATGCGATGCATTTCCAGGATGTAGCCATCCTTCGTTACCACCGTATGTGTCTCCGATGGATAGCCATATTTGCGTATTAATTTGGGCTGAAAAAAACGAGCGAGTTGGAGTTGGAACGGTGTTAGAAGTGCAAATCATGGCAGTGTGAAATTGAGTTGTCGCTGGTCTGACGCCTCAGTCTGGCTTTCTGTAGCTGCCATTTGCATGCTTGGGCTGGAGAGCAGCAGCAGCCTCGTCTGGCTTTAACCACAGTCATGTTCAGCTAATGAATTTTAATTTGCGGCATCAACAAGTTAATAAAGCTCCAGCCAGCCAGTGTAGAGAATTTTGCACTGTCTTCCCGCTGGCACAACTATTCTGATTGTCAGCTTATGACGGGTCATCCACAGCCATACAGAATTTCTTTACTGACACCGCAAAACTATAAATAAACTATAAACCAAGCCAGTCACGTATTACCCATACGCACTGTATGAAATTCATATTTGTTCCTCCTGCTTCCTGCTCGTGGAGATTTTGTGGATGTGCCTGTGGAGGGCTGGTCCGTGATATTGTTGATAAGTTTTGACTATTTGGGAGTGTACTTATGTAAGTGTGCTTATAACACAATTGTTGAAATGAAGCCATAAGCACGCGATTACACACAACAAAGCAAACAACTGAATGAAAAGATACTCAAATGAGACGATGGGAGCTGGCTGGAATTTTAATTAACCTTGGCAGCGAATGACCAGCGGCAACAGCAGCAGCAGCAGCAGCAACAAACTTAAACATTGCAATTGGCCAACTGACTTGCCGGCTGGTTGGACAACATGAGGAAGTGGTACCCGGAGTGCGCCAGTGAAATACTTTTCCTACTCTTTCGGTTTTGTGTCTCGGTCTCGAGTGGATTTTGGCAAATGTTTAGGCATACATTTTCGGCAGTTTCCTCGGCTCTCTCTCTCTCTCTCTCTCTCTCGGCTTACATCATTTCTTTGTTCGAATGAAAGAATGAACGCGCGAAGCCGCCACACAAAATTGCAACAGCTGCTGGGGTGAAGTTTTGTCTTTCTTGGCTTGACACACTTTGCGCCGCATCTGGCAAATATTGAAGGCATTGCACAGAGGCGCAAAGTGCAACAAAGTGCCACCGCCCGGGGTCCGTCTCTCCCTGCCGACAGTGTTGGGACACGGCGCCAAAGTGTTTCCCAACCTCTGCGGCAAGGCAAAGTGAAGAAATGTTTTTGAATCTCTGGCAGGGAACACGACTTATGGTTTTTGCAATTAATAAAACTTATTGCTTTATGGTTTGTTTGTTTTTTCTTGCCTATTTATGCACTGCAATTAGCCGAAATCAAATTGATTGTGGCCTAGAAATGGCCATGGCTATAAAGCTCAACTGGTACACCTGGAAATAGGTTTCAGACAGAGTTAAATGTATTGAAAATTCAACTAGAATCGATGCAAATCCACGCTGATAAAAAGCGAAGATGGAAAACCCTCACCCTCGGTTTGCTCAGATATTGAAATATTTGTTTTAACGCAAAAACACACACAGAAATACTCGTGAATAAATCAAGCAAATTGCAAGGCTAAAGCGAGCTCTGTAAAGGTTGGAAAACCATAATTAAATGCCAAAACCCCATAGAGGAATGGAGAAATAGGTAAATGTCGGACCCTGTGGTCTGCGGCTTGGACCAATGTGAAAATAAAAACGAATTGTGGCTGTCAGTGGATTTTCGGACTCGTTGCTGACCGCAATATGTGTTTTTTTTGTTTTTTTTTTTGTGTGTGTGCTGGATGTGTGCTTACTGTTTTGCTAACTGAACATTTTTCGTTTGGCCCACAGCCACGGAAACTTCATTAGCACCTACAACATACAGCATACAGCATGCAGCACCGACTCGGATCTCGATTACCATAATGCTCTCATCATGACCTACTCATTTCTGTGTGTTTGGCTGCTGCCGATGGTTTGGGTCCACGCTAATTGGCAATGGAGCTTCGTGTGTGCATTTACAGTGATCATTGCCTATGTCTGGATATTTAGTTGTAACTTAAAAATTGTTTCAGAAACTTCTATTCGCTATCTGCAGTAGCTACTGGTACTGCCCGAACCTCAAGTACTTATGCAACGTTCCACTTAGCCTGCATTTACTGTACTTGGAGTGTTGCCTGTGCGCCTTGGGTGTAGCTTCACTTCACTTCACTTTTTTTTTTTTTTGCTGTGTATTTTAACGTTTGAAATATCAATGCAAATTTTTAGTGTCAACGTCTGCCGGTTATGTTTAGTGGCGCGCCTCTTGATTCATTTGCATAAAACATAAACAACTTTTGCTTTGCAGAGCTCAGAAATCACTTTTGTTTTCGGCGGATGGATGGATTTCAGAGTGCACATCGCTCATTTTGTAACTGACCTTGATATTGACTTCTCTCTGTCATTATGGGACTGGCCAACCAGTTTTCCACCTCAATTTGGTGTCAAGTCAGAGCCAGAGGCTCCCTTGTCTTATCGATGGGTGTGTTTATGATTGGCGCTGGCCGCTCGTTGACTTCATTGCGCCTGACTGACATCATTTTGATGACATCGAAATGCAGAGGGTTAATCACATTTGAACTTCTCGTCCAAGTCGCTGATCATTTGGAGCAGTCTGACTTATAGTATATGCAAATTATTATTTGTATTTACAATTCGAAAACAGATTGATGAAGGTTTACAGACGATAATTATCGAGTAGCTAATTATTCATCTATCAGAGTTCCAGCACCTTCGGCGGACTTTAATTTGCAAACCCTTGGCATGTCGTTCCAAAAGGAAACCAACGCGGAAACCTTACTTCCTTATTGTGGCCAGTGCCAGAGGCTAACTTCGGTGACATCTGAGGCTGTGCTGGCGGAGACTGCTAACCCATATTTCAAAGTCGCTCAAGCGGCATAAGCGTGGACGGGGACGTGGACCTGCGCCTGGACGTGGACGTGGACGTGGACAGGTTAGCCAATTGCAGACTGACGATTGTGTAGCTTTGACAATTTAAATTTGTTATTGTGCACCATGAAAGGTGTCTCCCGCCGTACACAATGGGAACCTGGCCAACCCATCTCCCGCGCCCCTCCGCCGATTATGCAATTGGCAACGTGCAGAAATTGCCGAGGAGCCAAAGAGCCCTAAGAGCCCAACTGCTTTATTCAAACTTCGACGTGATTACAGTGCAGACACGCGCCCGTGGACGCGTTTGTAAGCCCAGCAATGACTTTGCATAAGATCCACTTGACTGGGCCCTAACTGAAGTAGATACTGGGTACAGTTCGGTGACAACAGTTTTGGGGTCTGCATAACAACAACGGATCACGTAGCTCCCATAAAATCGTTACGTTATCATTTCTCTGCACATAGACACTGGTTAATAATAAGAGTACCTTTACCGTTACCTTTAGCTTTACGTTTCCTATCCATCTGTTTGTTGACCCCGATTATTGTGAGATTTTCCCAAACTTCTGTTTTCTTTGAGTGCCAATCGGTTAACCTTGGAAATTGCTGGGAGTCCCACAAGAAAATTGCTGCGGGCTTTAATGTGCACGAGAACTGAATGAAAATGTGATCCAATTGTGGGGCACGTGAATGGGGCAAATGAGCTCAAGGTCAGTGCGGCCAGCAGTTGCTTATTGAATCTAAGATCGTTGGCATTCAATGAACTTGGAGGTTGCACTTCTATTTCGTTTGTAACAACTCTCATGCGTGAAGTGAAGAAAAATCAATGCTTGTGTTTTGGCTGTAAATTAGTTTAGAGTACAAATCGAAGTAAATTCAATCATGGAATTGATTACTTTCAGACGGAAAATAAAAATATAATTTCAAATTGAAGAATGCTCTACTTAGTCCCGTAAACAACATCGTAATTTTTTGGTCAAGCTTTAAAGCTCTCCATGAACTACTCTACTCAATGGCATCACAGATTACGGTAATTGCTCTCCACCTCTCTCTCTCTCTCTTTGGTGCACACTGAACTGCAGCGCATCATGTGAGTCCACCGTTACAAAGTGCCCGTGCCCCCTACCCCAACCTTTACAAGACATCATTAAACGGTAAATACCTTAGTTCTGCCCGTTTCACGTGAGCGTCGATGTCAACGAACCACGAGAACGGAAACTTTCTTTCGAACCGCGGCAGTGTACATTTATTTGACATAGAAAAGTTGTCCAGCCAAAACAAAATATGAGAAACGAAAGATAAATGTAGATACAAATGTAATGCCGTGACAAAACAACAACAGCGAACGACGAAAACAATAACAAAGAAAGTCAGACCAAAAACAAATGTCAATGGTAGAGGATGGAGGAGAATGGAACCAGAGAGAGACTTACCGTTATGAGAGATGCATCCTCGAGCACGTCGGACTTGAGGTTCCTACCCCCACCGGCCAGGTTTGCGTTGCTCGAGAGCAGCACCGAGTTCAGCAGATTCTTGAAGCTCAGCGAGCTATAGCTGAAGGGCGAGAGGAGGGTGAAGGCTCCGGCCCGACCGCACACCTGCAGGGCCACCAGGCAATGCAGTAGCAGGGCCACCAGCAGGCGGCCGCAAGCAAAGTCGCTTGCCCGCATTGCAAAAGGGGATCCAGTGGCACTCACAGATCGAAAATGCAAAGCACTCACTCTCACAGTCTCACACAACGCTCGCGTTCACAGCTGACAATTGCGCTCAGACACTCGAAATGGGGCAAATTAGCTAATGCAGCACCCTGGCTTGCATCTAAGCGTAACGGTTACGTCGTCGCGACTATCTCCAGCTCTCTCTCTCTCCCGCTTTCGTCACAGATCGTCTTGCCAGCTGTTATGTGTTTTGTGTCTGGCCACTGGTTGGCTGGGTATCCTTTTGGTTGAATTTTGCACTTAAAGCGCAGTTTTCACAGCTGATATTTGGGTATTCCGTAGGATATTCAGTCGTGTCTTGACACTTAGCGTACCATAAAGATTTATTTATCAGATATGGGAGTTTACTCTCCGCAAAATTTTGCACTTGCTCAAAATACACTTTTTGCTTTGAGATAACTGAGTACTGTTTCGGGTTTGTTTGCTAATTTCACTTTCAAAGCAGCTCCCTATCCCGTTCGGCACACCACAAAGTCTGTAGAACCTTCAGCTGAGGCTTAGGCTATTCATCCGTCTTCACCGACACGCGTTTGGCACGAAAGTCTCAACACAAAAAATTACAACAAGCGCTACAGGTGCGTTCACGACGATCATTTGCTTGCATTTGCCAAGCCAAGTCTCTCTGCCGTTGCCTACATCGTTTCTTCAATTTTTTAAAATACCCAACGCTCGTTCGTTGCTGGAATCAACTGACTTTTACCTTACCTCACTTTATCACACACCTTGCATGCCAACGAACTTGTTTGAGCCGCACCATCGACTGTGGATTGCATTTGTGGAAGGTAAACTCCATACACTCAATGGAAGGTAAATCACAATAATGTGTTGCATGTTACGTATGGGTAGGTTTAAAACTAGGAAGGATGGATATAGCACAGATATACCAGTGGTAGTCCCTTTTCCGACCCATCTAAGTGTTCCATCTCAGTACCTAAGCACTCCCCCCTTCCCACAACTCTGTGCACAGTTGCTGGCGCGTGCCCAACTAGTTTCTGGCTTAAGTCATTCGTTTCGTTTTATTTTGGAGTAGACAAGAGGCGCGATTAGCGGCTCGATCGTTTGGCATTCGGGTTGTTTTGTCTTGCTTCGGTTATGGTTGTTCGTCTCTTGGTGCCTGATGCCTCCGACGCAACGCCGCATGTTGACTGTTGAAATGTTTGGCCCGGCAGCCGGTTACGTTTGCAATTGGCTCTAACGAAACTGCAAGCCAAATTATGCATAATTTTTCTATGGGCCACGCCTCGCTGAAGTTTTGGGAGTTGCACTCCACTCCCCTGCCATTTCCCATGCCCCATATCCCAATTTTCACAAAACTCCAGCGAGCACCCCCAAACAGTTGATCCACCCTTCCGCCTATTATTGCCATTATTTCTGCTTTCTGCTTGCCCGCGCACTTGGGGCCTTGTGTGTATTGTATGGTTGGATACTTAGTCTTAATCGCTGCGTTCCCAGACGATCATTGGTCTCCTCCCGCTTGTCTTTTATTTCTTGTCTCAGTTGTTAACCTTGGCCGAGCCAATTTGCTGCGTCCAAGCACAGGCCACAATGACAGCCCTGTACCCACATTAATCATAAATTCAATCACCATTTTTACATGCATTCTGTCCACATCGGGAGAGTCGCAAAGAAATAAGAGGAAAAAAGTACGAAGTGGGGAAGAAGCTGCAAAAAAGAAGCGATCGCGAAATGTTGAATGCCCTTGAAAATAAACTTGAGAAATTTCAACTGAATTGATCGCCGATTTCTGATCGATGCTTTGTGTAACTTGCTGATGATAATGCGAGTGCGAGCAATTTGTCACTGCCCAAGGCTAAGATCACTCGGTCACATCTCAAGGTGAGATAATGCATTGCAATTCCATTATGAGCCACTGAAGTGCTCCAATACGACTTGCACTTGCAAGAATGTCATGAACACGTGCCACATGCAATCACAGGCGGCAAAGATGGTGATGGGGCGGGCAGGGTCGTCCACTTCTTTGCCTCGCGTCAGGCAGCTGTGAATTGCTTGAGTTTCTGAGGCAATTATCTGTGCCTACAACTTCAAGCCAGTGCTAGTATTTTTGGAGTTTTCCTAAGGGGTTAATGCAGCCAAACCGAAGGTCTCCAGGCACGAGGTAATTTTAGTTGCTGCACTAAAAGTGAGCGTGACACGCTGAACATTTTATGTGGCAAGAGAAGAGTGAAAGAGTCGGAGGCTTGACGTCCCCAGTTTGGTCGTTCATTTCTCTGCTGTGCCTGTCGTCCTCTGGTTCTTCGTCACGTACTTCGCTGCGACCTTGACAAAAGTGTTTATCGTTGTCTGCGTTTACTCTCCGCCTGACACACTTTCGGGTTGAGTGGCTCATCTCATTTGCACATTATCCCACACATGTATACGAGCATTGTAAACATGTATGTGCATGCATATATACATATGTAAATACTTACAAGTTCCAGAAGTTAATCACAGTTCACAACGCTTTGTGCTGCGTGCACGGCAGAAGCTTTATTGTTGCGCAAATATTTTAACTGCACTTAACACATGATCCCGATTTGGAGAACAATTTTTTAACCTGGGAGTTAGCCTGGGTTAGTTGTTACTTCCTAGAGGTTTAATCGACTGAAATAAAAAGGCAATAATGGCCTGTACTGGTGCTTAAAAGTAAATAAATAAACTATATACTCATGACTGTAGCCCCGACCAGACCAGTGTTTGCGTTTTATGGAAATTTTAAGATGCCATTTAATTGCGACGCCTGTCACATGCTGCCACGCCCAAGCCCAAGGAGCCAAGCCATGGAACCAAGCCACTATGATTATAATCAGTCGCAGCAACGCCAATCCAATGCAGGGGCGTTTAACAGCCACCCGACAGCCACCCGACAGCAACCCGAATGCTCAGTCTGCGTATCGTGGTAGCTGGCAGCTTTCGGGTTTTCGGTTTCTTTCGCTGATAAGCAGCAGCTGTGCAGGATTTTTGATGTGGCTGCCGTTGATGTCATCAATATTTGGTAACAAATTCCTATTCCATGGCATTCCAATTCCAATTCCCATTGCATGCAGGTCTATTGCCTAGCAGTTCCAAATGCAGGCGCACTCACGGTATCAGCCAGTCTCTTCTCTCCATCGATTCGCCTGGCATTATATAATCTTCCAGTCAAGTGGCTACCTCTCTTTCGCTGCATGCACAGCTCTGCAAACTAAGAAACTCTGCCAGTGGCGACATAGTAAGGCGTTTTAAGTGTACTCTACCAGTGGCAAAGGCTGTCCGAACATCAGATGAAGGTGGCCGAAGAGTAACGATTATTTACGAACCAACTCTGCAAATGAAGTTTAACTTTGAATTATAGATACCGTTTCAGTTGATAAAGGGCATATCTGCTTCGCAGTACTTTCATTCGCAGGCAAAAGTCTTGTTTTGTGAGACAACTTTTGTTGAGCCACAAGATGGAGCCATGGTGGCGTTGTTTGTTTGCTTTTCTGTGCAACAAACAGCAACAACAGGTGGACTTGTCACAGCAACAGCAACAGCAACACAAGACCGAACCAAATGCCTCTCCAGATTTGTCAATCGCCAGGCACAGCAACAGCAACAACAACAACAACAGCGAAAATATTGGTAAATGTGTCATGGTAGCAGGAGCAGTGCCTCAAGCCATGGCTGTGGACGTGTGTTCCTGTTTACATTTCTGGCAATATTTTGAAACGTAAATAATACAACTTTATGCAAAAGCCGGTTTTGTGCGGTTTTGGGCTTGTCTCTGGCATCGCTTCAAATCGTTCAATTGACACATATCCCACACACATCCCATCTCTTCCTCTGTCCTCCTGTTTGTCGGGCTGGTCCCAGTGGTTTTTGGGTTGTAACTGTCAATGTTTGTGCCGCTTAATATGAATTCTAATCAAACGTCTTGTTCAGTTTTATATTGGTCTCTAGAGAACCTGCCCCACAGCTTAGACTCTCTCTATCTGTCTGCCTGTCTGACTGATGAACGTGCTTCGCGTGGCACAGAAAGCACGCCAAACACGTAACAATTAAAAACATTAAAAGCCTTTTTATATAATCCAGCAAAAAACAAAGCGCACTTCACACGCTTTGAACCTCTCCGGTTGATCCCCAACACACCCTTTATGAAATTTGAATCTACCTTTGACACATAACGCTGAGAGACCGCGTAACACAGCGTAAGTGCTATAAACACGACGACAAATGACAGCCAGCACTGTGAAAAAAAGAAATGTTTATCCACACATAACACATAACAGTCTGATCGTAAACTAGAAGAAATTACTTTTCACTTTTTGTTTACTTTGGATCTAAACACAAAAGTGTTGGAAACTTTTTATACTTGATATTTGAAATTACCTCAGTGTTTAAGCTGAGCGAGCATTTGGCCAAAATGATGCTTATTGCACAGATGCAGCCTCTACTTTGCTTTGCTTCTGAATATCTGTAAATGTATCTGTATCTGGGGGCTATGCGCATGCAAATTAGTCGTCAGAGCCAAGAGTTTGCCCGGGAGAATGTGTTTTGGTTTTGGTTTTGGCATTACCACGCATAAATTGTCTTACGCCTGAGCGGCTACAGCGACCATTTTGCAGCATGCCAATGGGGAGCGGTTTGGGGCTGAGCCTGTGGTTCCCCCTCTCGAAGGGTGAAAGGGGAAAGGGCGAGTTGCCGGAAAATGTGGCGAATGTTTGTGCTGAAATATGTTGAAAGGATACTTTATTGAGCGAGAGGAACAGGCCGAGGGCAGGAGATCAGTTTGTTCAGCCACAAAGTTGCATAATTAATTTGTTTACACAGTTGTACACAAACTCAACGCAACGCAATTTTCTGGGGTTGCCGTGTAATGTGCAATGTAAACATGTGCAAAATCGCCGGGGGGGTGCCCCAAATTTTAAAGAGCTTCTAATTAAAGTGAAGCAGCGGTTACAGCGTGCGGTACGAACTGCACCTAAAGGATTTCAAATTTATCATAAATATAAAAGTACATAAAGTCGGAAATTAGCTTTGTGTGGTTGGGTATTCACTACTAAATTGCTTGCAGTGTTCCCTTTCGCTGTCTTCTTTGCAATTTACCGTTTGTTATTGGTCACAGCTTTTACCGTTGCTTTGTACGCACCGACTTGTCCACTGCAGTGGACAGTGCAGTGTCCCCGCTCATAGCTGCGTTGTTGTTAGTGTAAGCGAGAGCGAGCGTAGGGAGATCGAGCGTAGGGAGAGCGAAGATGTTCAAGTACAGATCAAAAGGGAGACGGGAATTAGAAATGCGAGCGCGTTGCTCTGCAGCAAGCTGCTTGGGTAGAAAGAGATAGAGAGAACGGGAGATGCATTGAGAGAGAGCTTAAGACAATGAGAGTCTGAAAGGGAATGTTCTCGATGCATTCCCATAATCTTCAACATTAATAAGTTTTTCTCTCTCCTCTTAAAGTGAATTGCTGTCGGTCCGCATTATTCTTTTGCTTTACAATTCACTCTCTGAATGCCATTGGAATGGATTATGCAGTTAAACAGACATGTAAGTATAATTAACTATATCATCGATAAAATGTCCATTTCCGTTCCATATATTTGTTTATATTTGCGCCATTTGCTTTCAGAGACCTTTGTTGTTGCTGCTGTTTATGCACTTCCGTGCATGCGAGGGAAACGCTGCAGGAACAACATCAGGAAAGGCGTCAAATGTTTTACTGCCAGATAAGAAGTTTAATTTATGCGAAAACATGTTTGAGGCTTCTCCCGTCTGCTGCCCAGACACACCCAATGGTCGGGATATTCGGATACATGAGTGTAGATAGATAGCAGCGAGCACCGTGATCCTGAATGGGCCTTGACCAGAACCGTTCGTTCAAGCCCCTATTTCACACCCCGTTGCTGTTGACCTTGCAGCGAGAGCGAGCTTCAACCCAAACAAATGCAAACAGCAGCAACAAAAAAATGGCCATAAATTTATCGGGATTCTCTTTTCTGCTTTTGCGGACGCGTCGATGAGTGTGGTTGGTTTTTTTTTCGTTTCGCCAGTGTCATGTATTTATTTAACGCCGTGTTTTGTCTAGACTCTCGGCACTGACTGACGTTGTGGCCAGGCGGCAGGCACTCTCTGATATTTGTTGAGCGATAACTCCTGTTTTATGGTCACCCATTGTCTGCAGCAGCACGAGCAGTGACACTGACACTACCAGATTAAATGCTATTTCCGTCTGGCAGCCTCCCAGCAAGCCACAGCCCCAGCCACAGCCACAGCCGAAGAAGCGTGCCTCTGCATAAGCAGGCAGGCAATTAAAAGCACAAGATTCCAGACATTTTAGCCATGCCAGAGGTGGTCCAGGGTGGGGCTGCAGCACATTATTAATTAGGTGCTGATACAGTCCGGGTGTGGTGTTCTTTTAGTTTAAGAACTGATTAGTAAATTTATTTATTATATTTTAAAGTTGTTTGCTAGAAATTAGAGAAGAATCTGCATAGCTGGAGCTGTATCGTAGTGATGCATAAAGGCTTTTATTCACAATATTCCATAGCATATTTTCGGGTGTAGATTTCATGAAAAACACAACATTTTTCAGGACTAATTGTGTCCCATTTGTATATGATTATCTATACTAATTATATTAAACATTCTGATATAAAACATATTCAATAAAACGGATTCCCCACATGGGTGTCGCAGCTCGCTCTCTGATCATCTCTGGCCACTCAGGGACTCAGGCACTCAGTGAAAGGAATGAATATTCCTCTTGTGCAGGCGGCCCTTCATGTGGCCCTTCGCCGACTTGCGATGGTTCAGCGGTATCTCGCACACGTCGCAATAGTAGCCTGAATTGATGTCGAAAATGTCAGACTTGCGAATGTAGGGACCCAGTGGCTTGAGGGCGGACCCCGAGCCGTCAAAAGGCACCTCCATGTGTCCGCTGATGTAGCAGTCGACGACACGCTTGCGATGTTTGGCCCCCGCCATGTGCATGGCCATCTGGGTATCGGAAGTGATGCTCACATCGCAGAGCTCGCAGTTCATGCCCTTCTTGTCGGTGCGCACCCAGCGGCCATCCGCATTGTAGTGGCCCAACCCATTGGGCTTGGAGAGTTTGTTGGCCACCATCCGGTGGCGGCGTCCCTGGAAGTGCTGGTCAGCGTGCGCATTCGATGTGAGCATCAGATCGCAGAGCTCGCAGTAAAAATCGACAGATCTGGCGCTGCGCAGCTCCTGCAGCTCCTGCAGCGCCCCATTCGACAGGTTGGCCGACTGATTGAAGCCGCCGTCTGGCATGCGCAATGTGCGCATCGCCATCCGGCGATCGTGCTCCTTTGAGCTGTAGTGTTCCACGGCGTTGCGAATTGTCCGCATGGTCTTGTGGCACAGTCTGCAGTTGTTCCACTGGAACGGATTGCGCCACTCCTGGGGAGAGCTCCGATGGAAGGCCGGCTCTTCAGTCGGCTCGTCTGAATTATTTAAGACTGCTAAGCATGAGCGGAAAGGTCAATGCAAGACGGCGTATCAGCATACTCACCAGCACCCGTGTTTGGTGGCTTCTGATTCCACTGCTCACCCCGGGAGCGGGGCGACGAATACTTCTGATTGCGCATTTGAGCAAATGATTTAAATCCATTTTTGTGTGCATACTTGGCTTTGGGCAGTGGCCAAATCTTCCTTGAGCTGTAACTGCAATGATGCTGATTGCTGGTGCCAGCTTTAAATCCATTCTTTGGCATCAACGCGCCTCTGGGCAGTGGCTGAAGCTCGTTCTGGTGCATTAAGGGATGCGAATCCGACTGTTGCAGCTGCTTGCGAAAGCCATTGATGGGGTTTTGTGATTGCTGCACCTGTAGCTGCTTGTTTGGCACGTAAACGCCACGGCTGTCGAGGCAGAGTTCAGGAACCAGAACTTGGTCAGGGTCATGGCTCGGCGAGAGCTGCTGCTGGACTGGCTTGTACCCATTCAGGGGGCTTGAGAGCGGACCATTTCCGCTCTCTGGGGTCTCTGGTGTCGTCACACAATAATCAGGCTCGTCCTGCACGAGCTCCTCAATCTGCAGGGAAGGCGGCTGGTGTGCCTCCACAGTCTCCTTGCACTCGTTCAGCCACAGCACCGAGTGGTAAAGGGGACTGGACTGCTGCTGGTGCAAGGCCGCCATGAAGTGGGCCTTGATCTTCTCGTCCGCCTGCATGGCAACGGGGGACCCGGTATTTGTAGAAAGTCGAACTGTGCCTGGAAGCACCTTGTGAACCTCTCTCTGAGCGACCACCAGCAGAGACTTGTCCTCGGCGTTTGGGTTGTGCCAGCCACCCATTGTGTTTGTCGTCACATCAAGGCCGCTGTCATGCTGGTCGCTTGGGTACATCAGCCGCAGAGGTGGACACTTTTCTTCATCTTGTTCTTCTGATGACCAGCCGTTTGGAGGAATATTCACATGGACGTGATAAACGGCCTTCGAGTCCATGCATCGCACGTCCACCAGCACCGGCACATGACCGGACGGAGTGAGTGGCTTGGGCAGGCCGGCAGCAGCCTTGAATATTTTTTTGGCACTCTCTATGGCAGCCTGCTCGTGGACCAGCAGCTGCCGGCGATATGGATTCACGTTGTACTTCAGTTCCAACATCTTTCTGCTGATGCTGCTTCTCGCAAGGTAGGAGACAGGTCTGGAAACGGCAGCGGTACGTCGGGAATTGCTTAGAACATCTGTTACCTCTACGCTGTCCTTTGAGTTCGCTGCTTTAAATAGTGAATAGAACTCGTGAAGTCGTTGGAGTAGCGCAAAATCCACGGCCACTTCTCTTTTATGTGCTATGCTAATACGAAATGTTGCCAAAAGATTTGAATTTGTTGGGAATGGTGTTTAAAAAATGTGTGAACTGTTTCTCCACCAGTCGAAAACTACATGATAAAACACAATTACTGACAGACCGAACGACGTGATGGAATTGTCAAGGCAGCAAAAAAGTTATTGTTCGTGTGTGTGTGACTAGAAATGAAAGTTACTCCGATAGGGTTGCATTTTCAGAGGTCTATCGATAGTTTGAGTGTTGGAAAACACACATAATCAGAGCTACAATTTTCAAGTCCACGTCGAACCCCGACATGCCGTAAATTTATCCAGAGAGATGCCCGTCTGTAAAGGTTCCTTTGTCGCTCACGGAAATGATTTCCAGGAAATGATTTTGCAGGGCTTTAACTCTCATTCATATAAAGTGCTCCCCCCATATGTATGGTTCTGTCGTGGGATATTAACATAATGCTGAGCTCGTGATTTGCCCTCCTTGCCGGGTATCCATGGCATCAATTGTCAGCGTTGAGCCGCAGGACAAGTTTATCGGACAAGGCCGCACCTGTAGGGACTGGAATGACAACCGCCGCTGGCACTGCCACTGCCACTGCCACCATCAATAACACTAATGGGAAAAGGATAAAGATAAGCATTAAATAACACACGTACACCCGGCGTTTTGGGTCTTATGGTGTGCCCTCCCCTGGCGAGTTTAGCCAGCCAGGCCTATGGGTATACCGTGTACCATGTGAGATGTGTGAATGGAGGTCGTGGGGAGTTGGCTGGGCCCCTGAGGCATACTTTGTGGGCGGGGCTGCGTACGTGTGGCTGTTAAGGGACACGTTCCCATCTTCTTTTTGCCACACTCCACACTGCCTCTCGTCACCGCTTTGTTTTCTCTGTTTTCTCTGCGCATTTTTCACATTTCGCGTTTCCGCTTCCGCTTGTTCGGCAGTGTCGTGACAGTTTCTCGCACCAAAACATGAAAATATGCCACACACGTGATCCATTTAAGGGCGTATCCAGCCGTATTCCCTGAGCTTCCTTGCCACCCTGGGCATCATTTCAATTGCAAACTTCATTTTAAAACTGGCGCTCGTGGCGTGTAAAAGGCGGGTGCAGAATGAGTGCGAACTTGATGGAAACGCTTCCAACCGAGAACATGTAAATTTTCGGTGTCTGCATTGATTTTCTTTGGTGAATTATTGTATGCCCCCGAGCCAAACAGCAATGGTTGTCGCAAAGGCATCTCTCTGGCTGTCAATATATTTTAACCAATCTAATTTATTCCGTTCATTTACTCCTTGAGTGTTCTCAAAAGTGATATTTTTTTTTGCTGCCATAAACATTTTCTGGCTTTTTACATCAATTTTTAATATTTTTACGACCCGAAGAGTTGGCAGCAACTCTGCCTCTAAATCGGTACAAACCATCGGGGACACTATCGATAGTATCGATATTTTTCTGCAAGCCGGAACTATCGATGGTTTTTATAACTTTATTCCCAAAATATTCCAAAGTTTTTAACATGTAACGAGAAGGGACGTGTGAGACGCTTCTTACGCGTCACAACTTTTATACCCGGCACTCAGTACCAAATCTGTTCATCTGTCATCTACATCTACAACACTTCTCACAACAACACGCTCCTTTAGCTCGCTCCCCTTCCGTAGACCCACACACTGGCAAAGGCCGAAGCAGAGTGTGAATGAGAGAATGTGCAAAAAAACAAATATAAGCTGCGGGATGGAGTGGGTTTAGCCACTGCAAATAATTTCTTCATTGTGGCAATAATAATGCTCCAATCGGATCCCAATTTGGTGATCTGATAGATATGGCGTTCCCTACGGAATGGCGTTTTTATACCCGGTACTCGAAGAGTACCAAATTTTGCATACAGACTGCTGTATGCTCACACTGAAGCCAGTGTATTTCAAAAATGAGCCACGCCCCCTTCCGCCCCCGCAAAAAGGCGAAAACCTACCAAACCTACGATTTTGAAGATAAAAGAAAACTAAGAACGCCATTCCGTAGGGAATGGCCATATCTATCATATCACCAAATTCGGATCCGATCGGATCATTATTATAGCCAGAATAAGGAAATTAATGTGTGGCTAAACCCACCCTGTCCAGCAGCTTTTGTTGTTCCTTTCACATTCTCTCATTCACACTCTGCTTCTGCTTCACTCGGCCCCTGCCTGTTTGAAATTTGACAAAACACCGCTGAGGTGCAGATGCACTATTGTCCCAATGGCCAGTTTTGGTGGCTGTTTACGCCAAATTAGCGCAAAGGGCTTATGGGCGGGAGGAATTAGTATTTTGTATAAGTAAAATGAATTTGTAGCATTAAGCTATTGAATTGTTGCATTTACGACATACTGACAGAAGCTCGTTGCTATAGAACATACATGTAATATGTGAATACGATAGAGAAAGAGGAAGAACATGCATTTAATAGGTGAATATCGAAATTGAAAAGAAGAAGAGATTAAATTGATTTGAATTCCGACTCGGTCGAACCAGCAGCACTTGGCTTTTTATTTCGAGATCTTGATTCCGAACTGGTTGCGAGGAGTTGCGGAAACAGTGGCCAAAAGCTAATTTTTAAAAGTTAAAACCAAGACACGGTTTTTAACGCTCTGTATTAGAGTGACCAAGAAAGTTGCGTACCAGAAAATTTCATAGATGGCGCCACTTTCGAAAAATCTGCTTTGAAACCTAGCGGTCATTATTGCACAGAATGTGCAGGGAAAAAGTACCAATTTTACTGCTGTTTTAAATATCTCATAAATTGGGAAATACGATTAACCGATCCAATATTTTTTATGCACGTGTTCTTTAATGTGAACGATATCTAGTGGTTGGCGAAGTCTTCTACATCTAGATGTAGTCCTGAGTGCCGTGTATAAAAGTTGTGACGCGTAAGAAGCGTCTCACACGTCCCTTCTCGTTAGTTTTCAAATATCTTCATAATTGTAGCTTTGGGAGGTTTTCGCCCTTTTGCAGGGTTGAAGGAAGCGGGGCTCATTTGAGAAATACACTAGCAAAATTGGATGCAAAATTTGGTGGCTCTAGTTTATATAGAATAAGAAAGTAGAGTCGCTTTTGAACGAGACTCACAACGTCCCTTCTCGTTTATTCAAGTTTCGTGTTGAAAACCAACACTGCGGATCTCCCACAAAACCTTAGTTGTTGGTGACAGCCAAGTTTACAACACGATCGTAGACCAGGGACCGCACATCGTTTGACATGATAAAGTCGAAGTGTGAAAAGCTCTTGAGTTCCACTTTCCGATTCTCGATGCAGTTGGGCAAACTTTCCTGCAGATTGGCGACGTCAGATCCAGATGCCAGCCAATCGTCTTCCCCATGATGCAGGACAACCTTGCACTGCGTCTGCGACAGGTTATAGGATGGTGGGAAAAGGGATTTGTAGTGAATGAGGTTTCTAGTCGGACCGAAGTCGTAGCGATGGAAGCTGAGCTTCTTCTGCAGCTGGGCATAGTGGTGGATCTGCTTGGTGGAGGATCCCTGGGAAGAGTGACCAACGATGATGGGAGTCAGAGTCTGAGAAAAGACGGAAAGCGTGAATCCAAATCTGCTCTTGGACCAGGTCAAGTCAGATTCATACCATATTAAAGCCATGCCAATTGAAGCCACATAGAACAAAGTCAAACATTCCGCAAATTTTACTCGTGATCCTGTTGGCCGGGCAGATGTGGTGCCTAAACTGCTGGATGAGCTTTGTGGTAAGGGAGACAGCGTAGCCTCCCAGTTTTACAAGAAGCGTCTGTAAATGAACCATGGAAGTTATGGAACCTGAGTCATGAAAGAGACTAGGACTCACCGACAGAGGTCCCCTGAAAAAGCTCATGAACTTGAGCACTGGACTGCGGGTCTCCTTCATGAACACTGACGGTGAGAGGGCCTGCATGATGTTTACTTTGATGGAGTAGCTAGGCAGTTCGCTGCACATTACGAAGAACACGGTCGATCCCTGGGAGTGGCCAATGTACTGAATCTTCTGGTAGTTCGTGCGCTCCAGGATGAAGTCGATGGACGGTGGCAGATCTTTGACACCAATTTCATGGAAGGAGAAGTCCCAGTATTCCTTCATACTGATAAACTTTTTCGTATGTTCCCTGGAGTAAATATTTCCGCGCGTGTTCAGCATCCAGACATCGTAGCCCTGCAGATACAGGATGTAGGCTAACCCATTTGACGGGCCCAACATCACCCAGGCAGCTGAGCTGGACATGAGGCCATGAACCAGCAAAATGGGCTGAGCACCTGGTCGCGGCATGCGGTGCAGGCACAGCTTGTAGCCATCTTCAGTGGTCACGAAGTGGGTCTCTACGGGAAATCCATACTTTCTGATGAGCTCATCCTGTAAACAAATAGTTTGTGCTTAAGGAGATCAAAAAATAATGTAAGGGATGTTCTTATAGCCGACTCACCGTCTTAAGCTGCCCATTGGATTCAATGTCAGTATCAGTGAAGTGATTAATTTGAATCTGTTTCTCCATACGAATCGAGTTCTGAACCGAATTGTCTGAGTTGCGATTTGGTTGAATGTCCTGAAATTGAACTTGACTCCACTGCGGTATATTTTGGATTTCAATTACAGGATTATAGGAGGAGTCTCCAGATATATTAAGTTGGGTTTGTCTCTGATATTGAATCTGCTTATTCGATGTTCCCAGTTGCAACTCTCCTTGGCGCTTTATATGAATCGAGTTCTGAACCGAATCGTCTGGGCTTAGAAATGGTTGAACGGGTAGAGCTTGACCTTGACTCTGCGGTATATTTTCGCTTGGATTATTGGAGCCTTTTGATATTTCAAGTTGGGTTTGTCTCTGATATTGAATCTGCTTATTCGATGTTCCCAGTTGCAACTCTCCTTGGCGCTTTATGTGAATCGTGTGCTGAACCGACGTGTCCGACTCGGGATATCCTTGAGGGTTTTGAGCTTTATCGCCAACAAAACTGATCCGATTATCTGATTGCACTTGACTCCACTGCGGTCTATTTTGGCTTTGAATTGTTGGATTATAGGAGGAGTCTCCAGATATATTAAGTTGGGTTTGTCTCTGATATTGAATCTGCTTATTCGATGTTCCCAGTTGCAACTCTCCTTGGCGCTTTATATGAATCGAGTTCTGAACCGAATCGTCTGGGCTTAGAAATGGTTGAACGGGTAGAGCTTGACCTGGACTCTGCGGTATATTTTCGCTTGGATTATTGGAGCCTTTTGATATTTCAAGTTGGGTTTGTCTCTGATATTGAATCTGCTTATTCGATGTTCCCAGTTGCAACTCTCCTTGGCGCTTTATGTGAATCGTGTGCTGAACCGACGTGTCCGACTCGGGATATCCTTGAGGGTTTTGAGCTTTATCGCCAACAAAACTGATCCGATTATCTGATTGCACTTGACTCCACTGCGGTCTATTTTGGCTTTGAATTGTTGGATTATAGGAGGAGTCTCCAGATATATTAAGTTGGGTTTGTCTCTGATATTGAATCTGCTTATTCGATGTTCCCAGTTGCAACTCTCCTTGGCGCTTTATATGAATCGAGTTCTGAACCGAATCGTCTGGGCTTAGAAATGGTTGAACGGGTAGAGCTTGACCTTGACTCTGCGGTATATTTTCGCTTGGATTATTGGAGCCTTTTGATATTTCAAGTTGGGTTTGTCTCTGATATTGAATCTGCTTATTCGATGTTCCCAGTTGCAACTCTCCTTGGCGCTTTATGTGAATCGTGTGCTGAACCGACGTGTCCGACTCGGGATATCCTTGAGGGTTTTGAGCTTTATCGCCATCAAAACTGATCTGATTATCTGATTGCACTTGACTCCACTGCGGTATATTTTGGCTTGGATTATTGGAGCCGTTTGATATTTCAAGTTGGGTTTGTCTCTGATATTGAATCTGCTTATTGAACTTATGTCGCNGCAACTCTCCTTGGCGCTTTATGTGAATTGAGTTCTGAACCGAATCGTCTGGGCTTAGAAATGGTTGAACGGGTAGAGCTTGACCTGGACTCTGCGGTATATTTTCGCTTGGATTATTGTAGCCTTTTGATATTTCAAGTTGGGTTTGTCTCTGATATTGAATCTGCTTATTCAAATTTGTTCCCAGTTGCAACTCTCCCTGACGCTTTATATGAATCGAGTTCTGAACCGAATCGTCTGGGTTTAGAAATGGTTGAACTGGTAGAGCTTGACCTGGACTCTGCGGTATATTTTCGCTTGGATTATCGGAGCCTTTTGATATTTCAATTTGGGTTTGTCTCTGATATTGAATCTGCTTATTCAAATTTGTTCCCAGCTGCAACTCTCCCTGGCGCTTTATGTGAATCGTGTGCTGAACTGTCGTGTCCGACTCGGGATATCCTTGAGGGTTTTGAGCTTTATCGCCATCAAAACTGATCTGATTATCTGATTGCACTTGACTCCACTGCGGTATATTTTGGCTTGGANAGTCTCCAGATATATTAAGTTTGGTTTGTCTCTGATATTGAATCTGCTTATTCGATGTTCCCAGTTGCAACTCTCCTTGGCGCTTTATATGAATCGAGTTCTGAACCGAATCGTCTGGGTTTAGAAATGGTTGAACTGGTAGAGCTTGACCTGGACTCTGCGGTATATTTTCGCTTGGATTATTGGAGCCTTTTGATATTTCAAGTTGGGTTTGTCTCTGATATTGAATCTGCTTATTCGATGTTCCCAGTTGCAACTCTCCTTGGCGCTTTATGTGAATCGTGTGCTGAACCGACGTGTCCGACTCGGGATATCCTTGAGGGTTTTGAGCTTTATCGCCAACAAAACTGATCCGATTATCTGATTGCACTTGACTCCACTGCGGTCTATTTTGGCTTTGAATTGTTGGATTATAGGAGGAGTCTCCAGATATATTAAGTTGGGTTTGTCTCTGATATTGAATCTGCTTATTCGATGTTCCCAGTTGCAACTCTCCTTGGCGCTTTATATGAATCGAGTTCTGAACCGAATCGTCTGGGCTTAGAAATGGTTGAACGGGTAGAGCTTGACCTTGACTCTGCGGTATATTTTCGCTTGGATTATTGGAGCCTTTTGATATTTCAAGTTGGGTTTGTCTCTGATATTGAATCTGCTTATTCGATGTTCCCAGTTGCAACTCTCCTTGGCGCTTTATGTGAATCGTGTGCTGAACCGACGTGTCCGACTCGGGATATCCTTGAGGGTTTTGAGCTTTATCGCCATCAAAACTGATCTGATTATCTGATTGCACTTGACTCCACTGCGGTATATTTTGGCTTGGATTATTGGAGCCGTTTGATATTTCAAGTTGGGTTTGTCTCTGATATTGAATCTGCTTATTCGATGTTCCCAGTTGCAACTCTCCTTGGCGCTTTATGTGAATTGAGTTCTGAACCGAATCGTCTGGGTTTAGAAATGGTTGAACTGGTAGAGCTTGACCTGGACTCTGCGGTATATTTTCTCTTGGATTATCGGAGCCTTTTGATATTTCAAGTTGGGTTTGTCTCTGATATTGAATCTGCTTATTCAAATTTGTTCCCAGCTGCAACTCTCCCTGGCGCTTTATGTGAATCGTGTGCTGAACTGTCGTGTCCGACTCGGGATATCCTTGAGGGTTTTGAGCTTTATCGCCATCAAAACTGATCTGATTATCTGATTGCACTTGACTCCACTGCGGTATATTTTGGCTTGGATTATTGGAGCCGTTTGATATTTCAAGTTGGGTTTGTCTCTGATATTGAATCTGCTTATTCGATGTTCCCAGTTGCAACTCTCCTTGGCGCTTTATGTGAATTGAGTTCTGAACCGAATCGTCTGGGCTTAGAAATGGTTGAACGGGTAGAGCTTGACCTGGACTCTGCGGTATATTTTCGCTTGGATTATTGTAGCCTTTTGATATTTCAAGTTGGGTTTGTCTCTGATATTGAATCTGCTTATTCAAATTTGTTCCCAGTTGCAACTCTCCTTGGCGCTTTATATGAATCGAGTTCTGAACCGAATCGTCTGGGTTTAGAAATGGTTGAACGGGTAGAGCTTGACCTGGACTCTGCGGTATATTTTCGCTTGGATTATCGGAGCCTTTTGATATTTCAATTTGGGTTTGTCTCTGATATTGAATCTGCTTATTCAAATTTCTTCCCAGCTGCAACGCTCCCTGGCGCTTTATGTGAATCATGTGCTGAACCGGCGTGTCTGAGTCAGGATATCTTTGAGTGTTTTGAGATTTATCGCTTTGATAACTGATCCGTTTCTGTGATTGCACTTGACTCCACTTCTGTGTTTTTTGTGTTAGAGTTAATGGCTCCGTTCGCTGAATTTTGTTAGTGACAACCACGTTTACAACACGATCGTAGACCAGGGACCGCACATCGTTTGACATGATAAAGTCGAAGTGTGAAAAGCTCTTGAGTTCCACTTTCCGATTCTCGATGCAGTTGGGCAAACTTTCCTGCAGTTTGGCGACGTCCGAGCCAGATGAAAGCCAATCGCCTTCTCCATGATGCAGGACGACCTTGCACTGCGTCTGCGATAGGTTATAGGAGGGTGGGGAAATGGATTTGTAGTGCATGAGGTTACTGGTCGAACCGTAATCGTAGCGACGGAAGTGGAGCGTTAGCTTCGTGTGCATCTGGGCATAATGGTGGATCAGCTTGGTGGAGGATCCCTGGGAAGAGTGACCTAAGATGATGGGAGCGATAGTCTGAAAGGAGAGAGGAGATAGGAAGTTTTAAAGTGTTAATCCACATCTGCTGGATCTGCAAGTCAAGTCAGATTCATACCATATTAAAGCCATGCCAATTGAAGCCACATAGAACATAGTCAAACATTCCGCAAATTTTACTCGTGATCCTGTTGGCCGGGCAGATGTGGTGCTTAAACTTATCGATGAGCTTTGTGGTAAGGGAGACAGCGTAGCCTCCTAGTTGTTGGAGTAGGACCTGTAAGTGCGCCCTGTAAGTCATGGCAAGTGCGTCATCAAATATTTCTAGGACTCACCGTCAAAGGTCCCTTGAAAAAGCTCATAAACTGGAGCACTGGACTGCGGGTCTCCTTCATGAACACTGACGGTGAGAGGGCCTGCATGATGATTACTTTGCTGGAGTAGCTAGGCAGTTCGCTGCACATTACGAAGAACACGGTCGATCCCTGGGAGTGGCCAATGTACTGAATCTGCTGGTAGTTCGTGCGCTCCAGGATCAAGTCGATGGTCGGTGGCAGATCTTTGACACCAATGTCATGGAAGGAGAAGTCCCAGTATTCCCTCATGCTGATAAACTTCTTTGTGTGCTCCATGGAGTAAATGTTTCCGCGCGTGTTCAGCATCCAGACATCGTAGCCCTGCAGATACAGGATGTAGGCTAACCCATTTGACGGGCCCAACATCACCCAGGCAGCTGAGCTGGACATGAGGCCATGAACCAGCAAAATGGGCTGAGCACCTGGTCGCGGCATGCGGTGCAGGCACAGCTTGTAGCCATCTTCAGTGGTCACGAAGTGGGTCTCTACGGGGAATCCATACTTTTTGATGAGCTCAACCTGTAAGAAATAGTTTGTGTTTAAAGAAAGCCAATCCTTGTTCTATTATCCTTATTCTATCATCCAACTTACCGTCTTAAGTTTCCCATCGATTTCAATGTCGGCCTCTGTGAACTGTCTTATTTCAATCTTGGCCTCTACTTGAAGCGAGCGCTGAGCTGTCCGCTGAGAGCTTTCATGTTGGATTTCCCGTGCAGGTTGGTTGGCTTTGGGCTGGTCGGAGGACTGTGACCCGAGGCCGAATCCTCCGTAAATGTGAACACCCCCATTGATGCTGACGTTGGTAGATATTCGAGGAATAATTGCGCGCCGGTCCTTCCCGCTTTGTAGAATATGGCAGAGCAGGCAATCCCTTGCATCGATGATGACGCTGGCCTGGAGGAGTAGAAGCGCGAACAGCGCGTTACAGTAGACGATCCGCATCCTGATAGTGGATGGGTTACAGTGCGGTCCACTTGGGAGTTCCGCCTTATATAGGACCCCTCTGGAATGTGGCGTGCCGAGACGGATTTCTAGTGTGAAATAGACTGAGCCGTGGAAATGGGCGTTACGAATGCCCCCCGCACACGTAAACCCCTTACATAACTGACATCATTATCAATGGCTACGGAACCTTTTCTATTTCCTTGTAGATAGGCTCTGTGGCTCCTGTTTTCATTCGTTTTCACAACACTTTGTTCACTTCCTTTACATTTTGTTCAATTATTTTGCTCCTTTGTTGTTTTCCTTTACACGCACCAAAGCGATCCTCAACATGTCCATCCACACAATTATGTCGGCGGGATCGATGGATTCCGTTGCCAGTGTGCAATATCTTGGGGTGCACAAATCCGTTGTACCCCAGCAGCAGGACGAACTCGATGAGGACATGGAGGAGTTATACAGGAGGATAATGCCTATAGATCCCAACTACGATCCGGCGCTATGTCGGGATCAGTTCCTGCAGACCTTATTTGATGATCTGGGTATCTGCTCTTCGAATGAAGAAGTTCCTGAAGGATCCCCGATGGGCTCTGCCTTTAGTGCATATTCGTTGGACCCTCAATCCGCACGACCTCCGAATTGGACCCTCGAGAGCTTCGTGCGCAAGTTGAAACAAAAGGAGGCCCTCGACGCCCTAATGCCTCAGGCCAGCGGCATCCAGATAGGGGAAAGGCTCCTGCCCCTGGCCGCGAAAATGGGTCGATACGATGAACTGCTGGAGTCCATGCAGCGGTCGTCGTTGTTCTTTATGTTCCGGCGAACATGCTACCAGCTGCAGGTGCTCCAGAAGGCTTGTGTCCAGCAAGAGGAGATGGATGTGAAGGAGCTGCCTAACAACATGTTCTCCTGGTCGTTGGAGGACTTCTTTCGACGGCGCGAGCTTAAGGACTTTGTCTACTTGGACGTTCTGGTGAGGGATCACACCCCCTACACCTTGGGTTGGGCGAAGTACCGGGTGGATCTGCAGGAGACCGAGCGTTTCTACAAGTATTTCTACTCTGAGATCTTCAAGGGCGCCGGCTACCGCAAGCTGCTGGCCCTGATCTGGGAGCAGAAGCAAATGCTGATCATCGACAAGGCCTTGGAGGTGGACCTGGAAAACTCGAAGGCCTCCTTGGAGAGTACAAATCTCAAGGCTCGTCGCTACTCGAATGCCTGGTGGGAGGGCTACAAGGGCAACTTGGTCGAAGAGCTCCAGCAGCACCTCATGGAGGCAACTGTGACGATTCCCATCGAGTGCCGTTACCTCTGTGCCTACTACGCCACCGAAGTGGAGATGCAGGAGATAAAGGACAACGTGCGCACCCGCCAGCTACAGAAGGAGCTCGATGACGTCAGAAGGTGGATCCAGCAGAGTAACGACACCACGCAAGCGTCCCTCAATACCTACTACGTGCTCATCGAGGTAACTGTAATCATCCTCTCTCTTTCGCAACCACACTCATCACTTATTGTTCATCCATAACAGGACTACCGTAATCGACTTAGCGCACTCAGTGATAAATACGATAGGGACATGGATCACTGGGAGAACGAAATACTTCAAACCAACTTTCGCCTGGCCAAGGCACGCGATGACTTGAAAGAAGCGATTGATAATGTCAGTTTTATGCGTCGCCGTATTAACGAAGTTCAAGCTTTGATACAGGCAGAGCAACAGGCGGAGATCGACCGAGTGGTATGTACATACAGGAGCAAATGAGGAGCAAATGCTTTCTGAACTGTTTGTTGATGTGTTTTATTACGGCCGTACGGGACTAGTACCGCAATTCTCTTTTGTGGCTATCCTTCGCCTCTGCTTCGCTACTCGGCTTTGACAATTCTTTCTGATGTCTTTGGCGCGGCACAGTGGGCACTCATCCGAAAATATGTGGCATATGTCGAAAAGTATTGCATTTAATGAATATCTAATCTAATAGAAAACGTCTCAGAACTTGAAATTATCGAAGTTGAAAATTGTTGTACAAAAATGCATTGAGCTCTTATTCACTTATTACTTTTGCAAGCTGAAATAGTGCCCATTGTGCCACGGGGCTGAGGTTGGTGAGTTGAAGCTTCTACCTGCAGCAGCAGTGCATCAGCGGAGACGAGGCATAGGCGAAAAGAGAATTGAGACCCCGCGCTCCCCCTCTGTCTGTGGGGCGTAAAATTACAGCAGGCCATGGAACAGTTATTTGGTCGCTCATGCAATGTCTTTGTATTGTACAGTCTTTGCCGATACCCAAATGTGATCACTTTCCCCCAGGTCAACGAGCAACAAGAACGCCAGAAGACTGCCAATGGAACTGACACGAATGCCCCTCGGCAGAAAGTGAAGGGCAAGGCCAAGTACCGCAAAGTCCTTTCCAAGCAACGAAAATCATAACTAATATCGTCAGGCAAGACAATTTTAAAACAGTATTTCGGACCTGAGAATCGGAATATCCTCAAACTGTAGTGAACTAAAATTATAGTGGAAATACAAGAGAATAAGTTATAAGAAAAAGGATACTTCCATAGAGCATGGTACCTTGGTTAGAAGCAGCAAACTCGAATTGTAGTTTGCCTGCCAATTCTGGCTACTCTGAAGGACTTAGGCCATGATTTACTTTAGTCTTGCAACATTTGCGGTGATTTGTAAATTTTTTCCAAGGGTATCAAGCCTTGGACAAATGGCATATTAAGCTGCCAAGGCTGGACGGAGAAAACCCTGATTATCCTTGGCCATCCTTTGGTCAAACTCTGTACTGAAGAGCTTGACACATATTAAATTTCATTTCGCTGGCAGTTGGAATAAGAATCGGGCGCCTAATGAAGGTTAAGCAACTTTTAATGTCCTGGTCCCAGCCATTTGGCAGACCATTAAATGTTCTGCCTGGCAACATGCCATATGTTTCCACCAGGACATAAGCCTTCGGTCTGGGATCATGCCCGAGAAATGATTCAGAAAAAACTTTTCCTTATCATTTCTGCGCAAAAAGTCATAAAGACGTTGCCTAAGTATGCATGGGGATGTGGCTGTGGATGTGTGCCCTGAGTGCACGGCATGACATGACGATGACAGTAATCGTAATCCAAGTCATGATAATGATGACACTGGAGCCGACACCCTTCTAAGCATATGTTGGGGCTTGGCATTACGGCACATGGAGTCAGGTTGTGTTAACGGCATAACGGTTAGCCACGGACGGTTAACGATTTTCACCCTTTAAACGCTTGCGTTACACTGTTTTATCCAACCATGAATGTTAGCACTGTTTCCACAGAACTTTTCCCAGACTTTTGCAATGAAAATCAAAGCAGATTTAAAGTCTCCAAATTGCCTGCTTTTCTCTTGCTTTAGGTGGACGAAAACTTAAATATTACAAAAATATTCCATCCTGGACTCCAAATCAGTTAAAGATTCCCGTCTTGGCTAACGAAACTCTTGCTCGGCATAACGATGCGATTGTTCTTGATTATTCCCCATTAAGTTTTAGATTATATTCGGCCTGATTGTTTTTAGCACCTCCTTCACGCTCGACAGACTCATGCTCTAGTATGGGAACCAGCCATAGGTGTCTACTCCCATGTCTACACCAGCCTCGGACCCCTTACTAGTCAAGCAGAACTTTAACTTTGAACCCGTCTCCCGTCTTGAAATGTTTCATGAGAATTTACATGTCGACCTGCCTATGTTCTCGTCATACCAGACGACTCCATGGCCTTTCCATCAGTAATTTCATGCTCCATTGGCCAGTGACATCGCTGAACATTCAATGGAATGCTTTCACCCCACTATTCACGCTCTGGACTTTAAGTAAATATCTTCTTCCGTAAGCCAAAGTCGACATTCGATTATCGCTTCTGCAGAACTTTTGATGATTGTTTATGCAACTGCCTCGTGGAACTGCCACTATCTGCCAGCCGCCTCCAGGGCCACTCGCTTCCGCTCGCCATTTCTTTCGCGTGCCTTCTCGGGGGTCCATATATTTCTGTATCCTGCCAACCAACACGAAAAGTCCATTTCGAAATTTATATGCACACAAATTGAATGCACAGATGGGTGGTGTGGAAACTCTGTTGGTCGCTTAAAAAAGTTGGCTGCATTCCTCGCAAAGCAAAACAAAAGGACGAAAACAAAGCGAAATGCCTTTAAGTGACACTTGCCGTGGGGCCTTCGTGTGGCACAGAGGTTTTCCACTCAACTATTGAGCGGGAGTTGGAGGAAAGGCGCGAAGAAAATTTCTGTTACATATTTAAATACAAATTTTCAATTGAAGTTGTCTCAGTTTCATATTATTAATTTGTAGCCAGCCACAATAAGGAATGTTTTTCATCTGAAAATATTCTGTAGAAGGCGTCAGTTTTATTTATTCTCTGCTGCACGCTCTCAAGCCCTTTCTGCAAACACATTTTGTTCCAGACTGCTGGAGCTGCTTTAAGCTCCTTGGGGCTTGTTGTCGACTCCGTTGCTGCCTTGAACTTCCGTTTGGCTCATTTGCTGGTGGCAGCGAACAATAAACCAGCGACCCACCAGGTTTGTTGCACTTTGAACTTCGGTGGAGCGCGGGAAGTTCACCTCGGCTATGAGGCAGCTCTGGCACTTGGTCCGATGCAATTGTGATTGCTCTTGGCATAAATTAAAAGCGCGAACCGCGGTTGCCATTTGGCAGCTGCTGCCTGGCCCCAGAGCCCAGATCCCAGAGCCCAGAGCCCAGAGGGCTGGCATTTGTTTCGTTTTGCGGTGTGTCACCGAGAGCTAACCTGGCCTGAACCTGCAAGTGCCAGTTCTAAGCTCAATAATCGCTGAATGCGCGGCTGGTGCAACTTTGTCTTGTGTATGCTAATTTCATTACAATGCAGCTGGATGGCCCTCTACTCCTCTGCAAGCGTTTGCCAGTCCAGGACCCTTCTCAATGCCCAATGAATTATGATGGACGTTGTCATGACTGGACACAGTATGCGGTCTGCGGCTCTGCGGCTCTGCGGCTCTGCGGCTCTGCGGCTCTGCGGCTCTGCGTGTGTGTGCTGTCCGTGTTTATCTATCGCCAACGTATACTTAGCACATTGCCGGAGATGGCTGGCTAGGCGTTTTTGCCCGACACGCCCTTCAGCAAGAGCGGGGGCAGCCATGAAGTGCTTAGCGCTGGGCTACTCATTCGCAATCACACTGAGAGAAATTAGACCAATAAACAGATTCATTTAGGAAAGATTCGGAAGGAGAAAAGGCGGAAAAATGTTCTTAAAATGTTCTTTGGTTAACATTTTCCACAAGTTTTGGCAAGCCAAATCTTTCTTTTCAGTGCAAGGGTGAACCAGTTTGAGGCGGAACCCTTTGGCCGGCTCCACTTCATTGTGAACATTTCTCAATTGATTATCGTTAGTTTGTGCCAAGGGTAAGTTCGCGAGTGTGGTTCGTGTGTGATAACGCCATAATTATGCCTCCAGCCTTGGCGTGCTCGACGCTGTTATGGCTGTACGATTATATTTGCACGCATGTCCTGTACGCTGGCAATCGCGGACAATGTCCGCTCTTTGCATGCGCCTCTTACATCTAAGTAAATAATCCACACAAACTGGCCCTGAAATATTTCATTATCGTAATGAAAAGGACGCTCGAAGTGCCCCTCGTGGCTGGGGTTATTGATAATGAAAGGGGCAAAGTGTTTCGCCATTACCCCAGAGACTTATGTGGGATTTTTCACATTGATGCGAGGCTTGACAGCTGACAGATGAATGGAGAAAATATTAATTATAGAAACTACTTGCAAGTGTGTGGAATTTAATTAGTGTTGCCCACAAATCACTGCCCTTCGCTGTGCAATTAGTGCGGAAAAGCGACTTTCATTCCACTGGAATTTAATTCAATTAATTTATGACTGCAATTACAAATCATATTAAATGAAGTAACGATGCAAAATGAGCACCCAGCCGCAGGCAAGTCCGATCACTCGTTCATCTCTGTGTCCCACTTCATTCCCACTGCTGTAGGACAGTGTAAAAATCCCGTGTTTTACGCCTTGCTTGCCCCGCAGCTGAATGTCTTCTCGCTTTCCATAAATTAATCAATTGCTCCGTCAGTGCCGCCATCCATTGTAATCCTTTATCAGTCGCTCGTTTTATTGCGCCTACGGACACGGCCATGGATACGGATTGTCAGCCAAATAATGACGCAATTAATGAAAGAGCATCATCATTTTTGCATCGAGCGAAATTAACAAGCAGTCGACACGTCAGTTGTCAGTCGCCGAAGTCCCCCACGATGCTGTTAGTTAATGAACTTAAATGCAGCTTTAATTTGCATATTTTCGTTGGTGCTTTAAGTCTCCGAATGTGGCAGAGATTTGCAGCTACAGACCCTGACCCTGAACTTGTCGCAACACTAATTACAAAATGCAGACAAATGGAGGCGTACAGCATGAGGCATGGCAGCTGGAAACGAACTGTAATTGGCATCCAGTTGGCTGCGAGTCAAGTCTGCCACCAGCCACGATTCAGGCTGAAGTCCGTACGGAAGGGATCCGCTGTCTGTCCTTGCACTTGACTTTAACCTTTTGCTGAAGTTGTGCCTTTGACTAGCCCGAAGAATCGAGTGGAGTGCTGGCTCCGCTCCAAAGTTGCCAAAGTCGTAAAGTTCCGCCCGACAGTTTAAGCAGCCCCAAAACTTCAGGCCACTCTTCACGCACTCCTCCTCCCGTTTCTGCTCGGCCATAATGAGGCGAATTTGGCCAGGCCATAAAGCCTGGGCCTCCGCCGCGAGGGGGAGAACTCTTTTTGGACATGCCTAAAATTTCGCATGAAATTTAATGCGCGCGTGATTAAAAGTCACGTGCCTGGCTCCAACTTCTGCCTCTAATGTGTGCCCCCAAGGAACAATGCTGATCGTAATCTGCGGCAGCATAGATGCTGCTGCTAACGAGCCAGCCTAGACTGGGCCGCCGCTTTTGTACACCTCAAAGACTGGCAGCAGACTTGCTCCCATTGTTTCCACTCAGCTCCAAGCAGAGGCTAACCAATTGATTGGTTTCTCTCTTTCCATTGTGGTCCAAGCGGGTTTCTGCTGGGTCTCTGGGTCTGGGCCGATTGTCGTGTGATTGGCAGCTGGCAAGCGAATCGCTAATTGTGGTGCCACGCGTCCAAAATGGGTTCCCCTTTTAAGGTTTAACCAGGAAATTAGTTAAGTCAAGATGTGGGTCAAAGGGGCAACGATTCCCCGACACTTTCGGTGGCAACTTTGGCTCTGGACAATTTCTTTTGAACGAAGTTTCCTCACGAACGCCATTTTAAAGGCATTCAAGAGCTTTTCCCCGAAGTTCACGCATGTCAAGCATGAAACCAACAGAATCCATTCCAATGGCCTGTCAAGTTGCCAAAGTCCCAACATGTGGTGACAACGCCGAATTAAGTTATTAACCAGAACGAGCAGACCAGACCAGAGGCGAACAGCAGGCCTGGAACAGATTGAAAAGACCCGGGACCGGAGGAGCCCATTGCCTGTCTGCCAGCGGCAAATAAAAGGAACGGCAAATATTTTATGCAAAAGCCGGAATCAATTTTTGCCAATCCATTGTAGAAAAAAAGAAGAGCAGGCGATGACATGGGGCCGCATGAAATGTTTGCTAAACGGACACTGGACACTGGACACTGGACGAGTTCCGCTGCGCCACGAAATTAAATATTAAATTTTCCAATTAGCAGGGCAAACATATCTTCGATTTACCTTGGGCAGTGGCAAGAGTAAAGTGCATTTACATTAAGGTGAGAGTTAGCGCTGTGATGTGGGTAGAGATTGGAGATACTTTGGGGCCCATCAAGCCAACACTTGGCCTCAATCCACGGCCAAAAAAATGTACTAAATTGCTGATAAAAATCGATAATAACTTGTAATATCTATTTTTGTTGCACTTTGAACTGTTTTGGACTTTGTAAGCGATCAATAAGCGATCGATCGGCATCTCGTCTCGCCGTTCCAACTGATTTATTCCCAACATGAACTCTGCCCTTTGGCTTGATGTAATTTGTGCGAATTATATTTAACATTCATAAAGCCAGCGATGATTCTCCGATAAGCTTGACAAAAACATTCGAACATTCCGTGTTTGGGACGCTACTAATTATCACTCATTAATGGGCACAGTTTCTGGGTCGTTTGAGATCTGGTTTAGTCACGGATCGCAAATGCTTTGGTCAGGAACGTACGGCATGCCACACGCTAAATGGATGCGCTGCCTGCTCTGGCTCACGCTTCAGTGCATGTGGGTGGACGGGGGATATCTGGAGGATAACTTTCCGGCGAGCGTGATAGAGGATGCCCATCTGAGCACGGTAAGGGTTTCCAGAGAGCTTGAGCTAGATCAAAAATCTCTTTTGCTGCAGCTGCAACTCTTGCAGAAGTACAAGTATCCGGCGGAGGGCCATCAGGTGACCACCGAGGACAATTACATCTTGACCGTTCACCGAATTCCACGGCCAGGGGCCCAGCCTGTACTGCTCGTACACGGCCTTGAGGACACCTCCTCCACCTGGATTGTGATGGGACCGCAGAGTGGGCTGGGCTACTTTCTGTATGGCCACGGCTATGACGTGTGGATGGGCAATGTGCGCGGCAATCGCTACTCGCGGGGCCACCGGCAGCTAAACGCCAACACGGACCGGGCCTACTGGAGCTTTTCCTGGCACGAGATTGGAGTGTACGATCTGCCCGCCATGATAGACGGTGTCCTGGCCAAGACAGGATATGCGAAACTCAGCTACTTCGGGCACTCCCAGGGTACGACTTCGTTCTTTGTGTTGGCATCCAGTCGCCCGGAGTACAACGCCAAGATCCACCTGATGAGTGCTCTGGCTCCTGTGGCTTTTATGGCCCACGCGAAGGCGCCTCTGTTGGGCATAGCCAGAGTTGGCATCAACATGCTGGGCGAGTCCTTCGAGCTGTTTCCACACTCTTACATGTACCTCAATCAGTGCCTGCAATCGGCCGGCATGCTCAAGACCTGCCTTCGTTTCCTCTGGCAGGTGGTCGGCAAGAATCGCGAGGAATTCAACATGGTGGGTACCATAGATATATCTAGACCTCATAATTGTTGATGTCCTTCCAGACCATGCTCCCGGTGGTGCTCGGCCACATCCCAGGGGGCTGCAATGTGAAGCAGCCCGTCCACTACATGCAGCTGCGGAGCTCTGGTCGGTTCTGCCAGTACGACCACGAGGCGAAGGAGAATCAGAAGATCTACGGGCGTAGCTCTCCCCCTGATTACCGACTGGAGAGGATTACTGCCCCGATCGCGCTGTATTATGGCAGCAATGACTATCTTTCCGCTGTCGAGGATGTTCAGCGTCTGGCCAAGCTGCTGCCAAATGTGGTGGAGAATCATTTGTACAAGAAGTGGAACCACGTGGACATGATCTGGGCCATTAGTGCTCGGCACTCGATTCAGCCCAAGATGCTCGAGGCAATGAGGTACTGGGAGTCAGCAGTGGGAGGCAGCAAGCATGCTGAAGCCACCACCAGTTATGTGGTTGAGGAAGAGATTGCTGAGCCGGTCAGCGAAGCTGCCACAGAAAGCCCTGATGATGAGACGGAAGTTGAGGAACAAACTGGGAAAGAGCGGGAAGGGGCAAGGGATGAAGATTAAGATCAAAATGTATGTAGAAATGATGTAGATATCTGGGTACGCAGCTTTTGGCGTGGCTAAATGTTTTTTTCCGCTGTATTACCACCTGAATATTGACACAGAATGAGTAACAAAATACTCAGTTATAATCTATAATACATAAGTCGGGGTAGGGGTATGACTCCTAACTAAACTACAACAATCACGTGCCACATCCGCCACACAGCCGCATTAGTAGGAACCAAGAGAAACGCTTTAGGGATTTTGGGAGCGGAGCGCAACGAGGCGCAAAAACATTTACTCAACACTTAGCAGCTGTTGGCTGGTTTTTGCGGGATCGTTGCCGACGACGTGCGGCGAAAGTTTTTTATGATTTATGAAGCAGGCGACGAGGATGAGAATGAGGCTGAGGGGCCGCTGCTGGAGGTCCTGATGTGTGCTGCCGTGGCGAATGCGGAAATGGCAGGCTCCCAGGACGGGTGCGGATGCGGTAGCTAAGCGCTTTCCCGTGTCAGTTTCCCCAACAGCAAAGAGCTCAGTCTCTCTCCACCCAAAACCCGGATATAAAAATTGCACTTTGATGCGTTTTCCTTGCACAGAGCCACACAACTGCAACTCCAACTAAAATGCTGAAACAGTAAACAATGCGTAGCCGAAATAACAAAAGTTTCTTTGGCGGTTTCTCTTCTCTCCGCTGTGCTCATTAAAATGTTCGCTTAGTGCTGCATAGAGCTACTCGTGGACCTGCTTTTGTCAAACACAAACACAAAACAATGAAAGCCTCACACACGAGAATGGATATGCCGTTACAATATATATGCAGAATATGCAAGCATACCCAGCAAACAAAAACCTAGCACATGATTTTGTTTACGACTCAAATGCGAGACTTTATCCGAACAATATATATATATATATATAATACGTGTCTCGCTCAGATTGTGATAGTTAAAGTATTGTCGTCTCCGTGTCTCTCACATTTGCATTGTAAAACGCTCATTTTCGCGCTTGTTTTCGAGCAGCAAAAAGCTCGCGCGTTGGTTTGCTGGGACATGCTGCTCTCTAAGCAAACGTGGCGCTAGAGCTAAGTGTGTAATTTATAAGAGTGTTTGTCGTGTGGGATCTAGTACAGCCAGGCTTTGTACGAGACCACGGGAGGTGTGCGAACAAATGCCGAAACGCGACAAAAGAATTCATGAGAGTACGAGGAGTATTGTTGGCGACACATTTCACTCCTGAAAGGCAGCGCACAACAAAACAGCGTAACAGAAATCCATTTTGGAACACACAGAGCGAAATCCTAACAGAAATTGGCACAATGAACTCACTCTCTCTCTCTCTCTCTCTCTGTCACCTGTGTGAGGGTTTCTCCCTGCAAATGGAAACGGCTGGCAAAAGCGAAAATGGTGTGCAAGAAACCGTTTATTGGGCCACCGCTTTGCAGCATATTAATTAAAAAGCGTTCCACGCGTTCCACGCTCCACAAAATTGGAAACTAACTCTCGCGGTAAAGGATTTTCTTTCGCTCGCAGTGAGAGCAAAAATTCGATTAAGTTTTATTACGCGTTTTTTCCATATGTTTTTTATTTCGATTCTCTTATTTTTTTGTTGAAATAAACTCATTTACGTGTGTGCTGTTGTTGCCTCTATGCAATTAAATTTTTCCCTCTTCGGATTGTTTGTATTTTTCGTATATTATTACAATTTTAAATATTTAAACATGCATAGTACTGGTAATTAACTTTAATTGTTGTTGCTGCTCGCCGTAAATTGAAGAGTATCCATAGTCTTTACATACGAGTACACTGGAATTAAATTGTATGCATTACACCTTACAATAAGTACGAGTACGTAGGACAAAACTAGAGTAGCCGAAATGTATTTAAAAATATATGTATAAATATTTACAGGGAACTTAATGAACTTTATTTAATATTAATATTCAGACGCATATTGAATTTTCATAAGCAAATTGGTTGGCTTCCAATTGGTATTCATTTTTTGGTGGCTTTAAGTTTCGTGCAATAATTCGCAGGGTGCTGAGTTTAAGTTTAAATTTTCGTCTCATTTTTGGGATTTTGAATAAGATTTTTCTCGAGTTTAATGCTTGGCAGTCCGCACATTTGATGAGGCCTTTCTCACACAATTGTAAAAAACACTTTGAATTCAGTCTTTAAATAAAATAAAAACTCCGCCGTTCAGCTGATATTAATACATTTTTTAGCCTCGATCAAATTCAAATGTGTGTAGTTACACCCACTAGTTGAAATACAGATGCAAATTTCGTAGCTACCCTAATTGCTAATTGGATTTTTAGCTTTAATTTTTTCATTCGCATGCGTTTAAATTTAATTTGGTTTTTGGTTGTTTTGCACGGTGCATGATTTTTGGCTTTGTTTTCACTGAAAAACATCAAAGATTGCTATTATTATATTTTACACAATATTACCGCTGGCTGCTTTCAATTATTTTGAATAATTTACGCCCCGTCTGCCCCCGTCTGGCGCAGCGTTTCACAAACATTTGCCTAAAACTACGAGTAGAGATACGAATAAATGGAGATATGTCCGCTGAACCTTGCCCGAAACTACACACACATAAATATGGTAAGCTGCATGAGTAAAGTGTGTTTTTTATACGCTATGTAGACACCGATAACTGCTGAACGCCAAGCTACTTATTTACACAATTCGCTACTCCTGTTCCTATTGCTCCTAAAAGTAGTCCATCTTGGGCGCATCCATGGCCGTGTGCATGGTCAGCGTGACTCCTCGATTGATGCTCACAGCCGGGTAGAACACTCCGTACAGATCTCGGAACGCCACCGATCCCTGCGGCATTTCGTTCACCAGGAAGCTGAGTGTGTGCCGCTCCAGATCGAGTAGCACCCCAATGGTGCTTCCAGTGGTGATGCCGCCCTCGACGCGTCGCTCATGTATGGAGTTGTGCTGGAACCAGGAGCGCTGGCGATCGATGTACATGGCAAAGGACTTCTCGTCTTTACCTGGTGGATCACAGAAAGTGGCGAAGATTGTGTTTAGTTCAGTGATTAGAATTAAAGTTCAATCTTAGACCCCAAGCGTATTTCTCTTCAGATGCAACAGTCTAAGAACTTGGAAAACTGCAACTGTTGGTGTCAGTGGCGAGGCAGCGCCACCTGCTCCACTTCACGCTGAAGCATTTTGCATATGAAAATTTAATTCGAAAACTTGAGCATCGCGGCACGTGTTAAATGGCGCGTGAGCTGCTTGAAGAGAGAGTAAATTTTGCAAAGTGAAAGAGATACACTGGCATGGTTCTCATGCCTCCCTCCCTTAGTGCTAGACTGGAAAAGAATGATGCCTGCCGATTGCCGCAAATAAACTTTCGCATTTGACAAAAGTTTAAGTGCCGCACTTTTAATTACTTTTGTCTGCACTTGGAAGAAGTCCCCGCCCGCAACGCTCTCTCTCTCTCTCTCTCTCTCCTCAGCCACGCACATTTTCAATCAATTTGCCGAATCGTTCGTTTGAGGCGTCGTCTCTTTCGTCTCTTTCGTCTCTTTCGTCTCTTTCGTTCTTTTTGTTTGTGTTTGTCTCCGCAGTGGCCGCTCTTCGGAGGTAACCGAAACTCGCTTAAAAGTTCCGTTACGCTCTGCTCCGCTCCTCGCACACGCAGCCAGCGAAGTGGCAAAAGTTTGTTCACGCCCCCCCACCGCACACAGTCGGCTCCCGATTTTATTGGCTAGGCTGCCAAATGGCAAAGTTTTAAGCGCCATTCCACCCCACCTCCACCTATGGAAATTCTCCGCATACGTATTGGGTCTTTTGTCACACGCCAGAATCTATTTGTTGTGCAGATTGGCCACTTTTAGTTTTAGTTTTCCCCACGAAACTTTCTTCCTGCAATCCTGAATTTTTAATTGAATTTCAAATGCAACCAGTAACCCAGTGAAATGCATTTTCTCCTGCCACATTTGTGGCGTACTCACCCAACATTTTGTTGCGCGCCACGTCGATACGTGCCACTCCGAATGCCGGATCCGTGTCCGCCGTGTAGTTGTCGATGGTGAACTCCCAGTAGTGGACGCCGCGGGAGAAGCCCACCGAGCCAAGGGCCACACGGTGCTCCCAGCCCTCGACACTGACTGTGGCGTTATTTTTGCTAAAGATTAAGCCGGAGCCGGCGCCGCCGCTCAGAACTGGATCAAACGTGAACCAGGCCACTGCAAAGGAGAAGAGAAGAGAAGAGAGGAGAAGAGGAGAACAGAGATGAGTGGAGAAGCAAGTGAAAAGTGGAAACGAAAACAAAGTCAGACTGGTTGCAATTTTCTCTATTGTCAAAGCTCAAGTGGCCAGGCCAGTGGCAGTGCCAGTGCCAGTCCCAGTCCCAGTGCCAACTCAGAGTCCAGTCCTCGTGCCGCATAGTTTATGCTGTTATGCCCCACAAAGTATGCAACGAGCAGCGGCAGCCTCAAGCTGAGTCGAGTACTTTATTAAATTTGCTTTTTATTGTTGTGGCCGCATTAAGTGGCCGACGTTGGTCCCAGATCAGCCGAGACCCTCTGGAGACCAGCTCCGACTCGGAGTGGTGATGATGACGTTGCCATTTTCCTGTTTTATTAGCCACCAAAGGCAATTGTGTGGCCAAACACAAGCCACAAGGCAAGCAGCTGGGACAAGAGGTCTCCGGCTATCCATTGCCTTGCTTATGTCGAATGAGAGATTTGCGGCCAGCACTACAAACTATGGACCACAATGGAGTTCTTTTAATTAGCTGCCACTTGGATGTGGAATTTGGCATCATCTGTGCTTGGAGTCTTCAAATGTCTTTCCATAAAAAGGGTTGTCTGTGGTGCTAGGTGTTAGCCCAGACCAAACCCATTAGAGCGCACCGCCCGCAATCGTCACGAGCCATAAACTGTTAACTGCTTCTTGGCAGCGTTAATTACTTAGGGGCACGCGCTCAGTGTAAACACTTTATAACGCAACAATTTGCAGGGTCCAGAGACCGCTTAAGGCAAATAATCAATTAAAAGTTGCAACTAATAAAGGAAT